ATTTTTCAACATTAAGAGCATTTTTTTCGACTCTTCTTAGCTTATTAAGTGAGTGTCGAAACCTTAATGTTGATTTTTCAACATTAAGAGCATTTTTTCGACTCTTCTTAGCTTATTAAGTGAGTGTCGAAACCTTAATGTTGATTTTTCAACATTAAGAGCATTTTTTTCGACTCTTCTTAGCTTATTAAGTGAGTGTCGAAACCTTAATGTTGATTTTTCAACATTAAGAGCATTTTTTTCGACTCTTCTTAGCTTATTAAGTAGTGTCGAAACCTTAATGTTGATTTTTCAACATTAAGAGCATTTTTTCGACTCTTCTTAGCTTATTAAGTGAGTGTCGAAACCTTAATGTTGATTTTTCAACATTAAGAGCATTTTTTTCGACTCTTCTTAGCTTATTAAGTGAGTGTCGAAACCTTAATGTTGATTTTTCAACATTAAGAGCATTTTTTCCGACTCTTCTTAGCTTATTAAATTCTGCTCGAAACCTTAATGTTGATTTTTCAACATTAAGAGCATTTTTTTCGACTCTTCTTAGCTTATTAAGTGAGTGTCGAAACCTTAATGTTGATTTTTCAACATTAAGAGCATTTTTTCCGACTCTTCTTAGCTTATTAAATTCTGCTCGAAACCTTAATGTTGATTTTTCAACATTAAGAGCATTTTTTCGACTCTTCTTAGCTTATTAAGTGAGTGTCGAAACCTTAATGTTGATTTTTCAACATTAAGAGCATTTTTTTCGACTCTTCTTAGCTTATTAAGTGAGTGTCGAAACCTTAATGTTGATTTTTCAACATTAAGAGCATTTTTTTCGACTCTTCTTAGCTTATTAAGTGAGTGTCGAAACCTTAATGTTGATTTTTCAACATTAAGAGCATTTTTTCCGACTCTTCTTAGCTTATTAAGTGAGTGTCGAAACCTTAATGTTGATTTTTCAACATTAAGAGCATTTTTTTCGACTCTTCTTAGCTTATTAAGTGAGTGTCGAAACCTTAATGTTGATTTTTCAGCATTAAGAGCATTTTTTTCGACTCTTCTTAGCTTATTAAATTAGTGTCGAAACCTTAATGTTGATTTTTCAACATTAAGAGCATTTTTTCGACTCTTCTTAGCTTATTAAATTCTGCTCGAAACCTTAATGTTGATTTTTCAACATTAAGAGCATTTTTTCCGACTCTTCTTAGCTTATTAAATTCTGCTCGAAACCTTAATGTTGATTTTTCAACATTAAGAGCATTTTTTCGACTCTTCTTAGCTTATTAAATTAGTGTCGAAACCTTAATGTTGATTTTTCAACATTAAGAGCATTTTTTTCGACTCTTCTTAGCTTATTAAATTAGTGTCGAAACCTTAATGTTGATTTTTCAACATTAAGAGCATTTTTTTCGACTCTTCTTAGCTTATTAAGTGAGTGTCGAAACCTTAATGTTGATTTTTCAACATTAAGAGCATTTTTTCCGACTCTTCTTAGCTTATTAAGTGAGTGTCGAAACCTTAATGTTGATTTTTCAACATTAAGAGCATTTTTTTCGACTCTTCTTAGCTTATTAAGTGAGTGTCGAAACCTTAATGTTGATTTTTCAGCATTAAGAGCATTTTTTCGACTCTTCTTAGCTTATTAAATTCTGCTCGAAACCTTAATGTTGATTTTTCAACATTAAGAGCATTTTTTCGACTCTTCTTAGCTTATTAAATTCTGCTCGAAACCTTAATGTTGATTTTTCAACATTAAGAGCATTTTTTTCGACTCTTCTTAGCTTATTAAATTAGTGTCGAAACCTTAATGTTGATTTTTCAACATTAAGAGCATTTTTTTCGACTCTTCTTAGCTTATTAAATTAGTGTCGAAACCTTAATGTTGATTTTTCAACATTAAGAGCATTTTTTTCGACTCTTCTTAGCTTATTAAGTGAGTGTCGAAACCTTAATGTTGATTTTTCAACATTAAGAGCATTTTTTTCGACTCTTCTTAGCTTATTAAGTGAGTGTCGAAACCTTAATGTTGATTTTTCAACATTAAGAGCATTTTTTTCGACTCTGCTTAGCTTATTAAGTGAGTGTCGAAACCTTAATGTTGATTTTTCAACATTAAGAGCATTTTTTCCGACTCTTCTTAGCTTATTAAATTCTGCTCGAAACCTTAATGTTGATTTTTCAACATTAAGAGCATTTTTTTCGACTCTTCTTAGCTTATTAAATTCTGCTCGAAACCTTAATGTTGATTTTTCAACATTAAGAGCATTTTTTTCGACTCTTCTTAGCTTATTAAATTAGTGTCGAAACCTTAATGTTGATTTTTCAACATTAAGAGCATTTTTTCGACTCTTCTTAGCTTATTAAATTCTGCTCGAAACCTTAATGTTGATTTTTCAACATTAAGAGCATTTTTCGCGACTTTTCTTATTTTTGTTGTTGAAGGGGGTTTCGGCTATGTGGGGTATCTGAAGCCCACAGGCAGGTAGCGGAGTAGTTTTTTAAGGAATTTTTGGTTAGGGGAGGTACCTAAGTTATTGAAGTTGTTTTTAAGGGGGTTTCGGCTATGGGGGGGGCTATCTGAAGCGATGAGGAAGACATCTAAGTAATTAAGGTATGTAGTTAGTCAGTTAAGTAGTTTATGGTACAGGGTGGCCCAAAAAAAAACAACAGGTTTGGGCGCGTTTATCTCGAGAACCTTAACGAATCCATGGTGGGTTGATGGCTGAAAACCATTTTCTCGGCCTGGAAAAGAAATTAAACACAACTTGATTTTTTCGATTTTTGGCGACGTATCGATACAAATGACACCCGAAAACTGTGCGTTCGGGGAAGTTTAATTTGTATTTTTCTCAGCCGCCTGTGGCAGGGGATTTCTAATTTTTGCTGTGTAAAATCTTGTAGGCATTAGATAAATACATGCAAAATTTTGGAATTTTTGAAGGTCAGGTTGGCAAGTTATAGCGTGCTCAAATTTAATATGGAGAAATTTCGTAAATTTCGAATATTACAAAAACCTATGGTGGAAACCTCAGAACAAGCTGTTTTAGCCCGTCTATAGGCTCGATACAATCCCGCAAAAATATCAAAAAAAATTTTCAGATCCGCGGATTTTTGAGTTTTTCGACGACCCCCTGGTCATGGATTTTTTCGAGGTCACGAAACTGAACTTTGGAAAAATATTTCTAAAATTGCAGATAGAATTTCCGTGTTTGCTTTGCTTGGTTGTGTAGGACTGGGGTCCATCTATCACATAGATAATTTCTAGCTACCGTACCCATTTGGAAGGCTGCTTTTTAGCGCCTCCAAAACGGTTGGTTCTTGCTATTTCGCAGACCTTGGTGCCAGTCTATAAAATTCAATTGCACGGCTAGAATTATTGTCATAATTTTATTTGATATTACTTAATTGGCGCATTCTAAAATTATATTTACAAATTTATTGGGCCATCCAATCTCTCAAAAGAAATTCATGAAGAGCCCAAATATACCCGGATTCGAGGCAACGTAAAAAAATTCTCGAGGGTTTAGTAGCCCCGACTTTTCTGGCATAAACTCAGCTCGGGTAGGCAACTAGAACCCATGCAAATACAAAGCCTTTTCATGGCAAAGGAATTTAGAAGAGCTCCCCAAAGTCGACTTTTCAGAAACGTTAGTTTCGGGTTTTAAATCAAAATCAACCATTAACTTCAGCCAGATCATTCCAGAATTTTGCTCTCATGCACAGTTCAATACGTGCTTTAATTGTATTTACCAAACCCCGATGCCATTTTCGTTTTCAAAAATTCGATTTTCGAGCCAGGGCGTCGGGTCCAAAATCGGGGTCCGAGGGGGGTCTTTCCCTTATAACTTTGTCATTTGCCACAGGAATCAAGTAATTTTTTGTAGGTGCTCTTACAATCGCCCAGTGAACAGTCTAGAATAGAAAAATTGGCATTTTATGGCATTTTGTCTTGGCATGCTAAAACGCGCTCCAGGCGGGTTACGGTAGAAAACAGAAAATCGTCGTTTTCTCGTTCTTTTCACCATAGAAACGTTTCGATCTTTCGGGAAAACAAATAATAGTAGTTTTTAGTCCGATGCATCGAAGTATTTAGAAATTTCCGTGGCTAAATTCAAAAATAAGTTTTTTGCATATTTTGGGAAAGTATATGGCTAGAACTCCACGATCTTTGGCCAATAGGTGACCCTTACTGGTGTTTACCAATGGAAAAATTTTAAGCAAAATCGCAACATACGATAAAAAGAAAACGCGAAAAACCAAAACTACAGTATCCCTCTGGGGCACGTTTTAGCAAGCAATATTAAAATACCATAGAATCGGGTGATCCCGGCGTTGGATCAAAGATCATCATTTGGAGACACCATTTGCAAAAGATCAGCCATGGGCAGAGAATTTGAAGCGAGTTGCGAATTAAAACGTAAAAAGATGCAAAATAGTGAAATTTGTATTGCTTCTAAAAAATGAAATTGACCTCGATAAATTCTAAGATTTTGCCATTACATTTCTACAAACATCAGCTATTTTTAGGCCAAAAATCAGAATTTTCCCACCACCCGTTCAAGAACGCACAATTTTCGGTCGTAACCAGCGTCAATAGTACAGTTGCGTACTCAAAAATCGAAAAAATCAAGTTGTGTTTTATTTCTTTTCCAGGCCGAGAAAATGGTTTTCAGCCATCAACCCACCATGAATTCATTAAGTTTCTCGAGATAATCGAGCCCAAACCTGTTGTTTTTTTTTTTGGGCCACCCTGTAGTTAGTATGGGTGGGTAGTTTAGCTTTTTGCTGGGGGTTGGCTAAAGAAGGTTCTGTAGGTGGGCGTGGGTATTGATGAAGGTAGAGGTGTAATGTGGTGGCGTAAAACATGGAGGGTAGCCCCAAAGGCCAGCCGATTACAGTCGCGAAGCGGTTCGATACATCCTTCGATTATAGGTTTGCAGGTACCCCGAAGTCCTGCAGGGCCCATGCAAATGCCAGCTGATTAAAGCCACGAAGTGGCTTTAATCAGCTGGTACTTGAGAATGCCTTATCCTATCGGGTTGGCTAGTCTTCAGGTAAGACTTGTTTCCCTCTCTCTCACTCTCTCTCCCTACTAAAATTACGATTTCTGCTTCTTTTCAGCTTGTTATGGGCCTATTCCCGATCATCTACCTGTCGACGAACTTCTTGGAGGAGATGTTTTAGCCGGCCACGGCGCAGGTAGCAGATTTTCCCTAGGAATCTCCACTAGTTGCCTGCAATGGATTATGCCATATAACACAATCTAATTTTAGCTGGCGTCTTTCGGGTTCATCTTGGTGCAATTCGGTGCGGGGATTTGTGGGACTTTCGTGGTTTCACGGTAATAGAAAGACCGAGAGAGCGAGAGAGAGAGAGAGTGAGAGAGACAGATTGAGACAGAGAGCGAGGAAACGAGAGAGAGAGAGATAGAGAGCGGAACAAGAGAGCGAGAGACAGAAACAGAGAGAGAGAGAGGGTGAGAGAGAGAGATAGAGAGAGAGTGCGTAAGAGAGAGTGAGATCGTGCTAGCTATTTCCTTTTCCAGCTGTGGCCGCCGTCCTCTCCTTCTCGGCCTGGGTGCGATGAATATCTCTTCATTCATCTTGTATATTCTGTTCGAGCGTCTTTTCAGCTACTACGGTGGCCCCTGGGGCTATGGATGTATTTTAGCGCTGTGCATTTTCGGCTTTTCCTATGGGTGGGTCGCCGAAAAATTCAGAAAAGTCAAAGATGTCGTCAATCAAAAAAATTGTAGATTTTCAAGGCACCAGATTAATTTTTTTAAAGGGTCGAAAGTGAACGTTTTCAAAGCGTTTTTCAGGCTGGGGCTGGGCCCGATCTCTTGCTTCATCACCAGCGAACTCGTCGTGCAACGGTATCGCTCTCTGGTGCAGAGTATGGTACGACAATTTAAAAATCGCCTAATTTTTGTAGTATCTAGGTCATTTAAAGTGACCGGGAAGCGCTAAAATCGACCCTTTACCTCGACTAGGTCTCGACAGCTAACTACCATAACCATATTGACCCCTAATACCATGTTTAAAAATTTATTTCGTGCCTACTAACGCTCTTTTGATTTTAACACGACTGTCGAGACCTAGTCAACAAAAGGGTTGATTCTGTGCCTTCCTGAGCCCTTTAAAACATGCGAATCTGTTTCCACAAACATTATCGTGGTTTTTAAGATGTACGTGACGAACACGCTGATCAGCCTGGTCGTCTCCTACCTCGTGCTACCGGCCTACACCCATTTCGGGTGTCTCTCGTTCCTCGTGCTCTTCGTCATCCCGTCGCTCTTCGCGTTTGCCTATCTCTACATCAATTTGCCGGAGACGAAGGATCGAGAGGTGAGGGTTTTGTAGGCATCTCACTCGCTCTCGCTCTTTCTCTCGCTCTCTCTCTCACTCTGTCGGTCTCCCTCTCTCTCGCTCTCTCACTCTATCTACTCTCTTTCTTGCTCTCATTCTCTTGCTCGCTCTCGCTCACTCACTCTCTCACTATCTGTCTCTCTCACTCTTTCTCGCTCTCTTCCTCTCTTACCCTCTCTCTCGCGCAAACTCTCTCTCTCTAAAACTCAACTCCTAAAAAATCGACTTTTTCTAGATCGACGAGATTGTCGGCGAGCTCAAAGAAGGGGTCGGCTGCTGCACGGCATCGCGTAGCTTCTCGGAATCCTCATCCACCAACAACATCACTTCCGAAGAAACCCCATTGACCAAACAAAAAACCGGCCAATCCCTGCTACCGTAACCCATCCACAATACCCCGAAACCGGTGCCAAATTTGCATATTTTGAACATAGTGTGATAGTGTGCGGCTTTGTCTCTCTCGCTCTCTCTCTATCTCTCTCCCCCCTCTCTCTCTCGCTCGCTGTCTCTCTCTTCTGCCTCACTCTCTATCCCTGTAGCTTTAAAAGGGACCGACAAGGCGGGGCTATGGATTCCGATACGCGACACGAAACGCTGCTAGGTTTTTTTTTGACGTGCTACCACCTTGCCGCGGGCTCCACTGTCGCGCGTTGCGTGTCGCGGCGCCGCAAAAATCCATAAGGAAGTCATCGCCATTAATCCATAGCCCAAACAACTTGCCTTCCCCGGTCCTTTAAAGGATCAAAAACTCACCAATCGACCCCTCGCATCGACTAGGTCTCGGCAGCTTCGCAGCACTCCAAAGTAACACGCGTAGATCTGACGTTGATAGCCCTAGAAGTCCCTAATTTTCGCGAAATACCCTAGACCTAGTCGACGTATTGCGTGGCTGTCGAGACCTAGTGGCGGGTGGAGGTCGATTTTCCGAATTCATTGCTCCTTTAAACGCCCTTCCGTCCCTATTTTTGCGTACAAAACTCGTGTGTACATGCAATACTGGTCGCTCGTTGCAGAGAGTCGAGGTACAACTACGTTTTTGCTGTTTTTTAGCTGGAATTTTTCTGGTGTTTAGACGATAAATTTGTTGGTGTGCGATCATGACCATAACGGCATTTTATTGTCTCGAATTTTGACGGCCGGCCTTTTGGCTGTCGGCATTTTGACGGTCGGCCTTTTGACTGTCGGCATTTTGGCTGTCGGCAGTTTGACGTGTCCCCCCCCCTCCGTCTACCCCGTTGAAGTGTTGGCTTTCAAAGTCCGATAACAGAAACCCCCATTTATTCACACACGACACAATAGTTTCTAGGAAGAGCGTACGCAGATGTTAAGTGGAAATTTTAACGAGCACAGTGCGCTTCGGGCGGGGTACAGAACGGAGAAGGAGGATGGCAAGCATGGGGAAGGCAAACGCGCAGTAGCTGGAAAAAACGACTCGTTCTCGTGGAATACGACGAAGCGCACAAGGCCGAGTGCTAACCGGTAGAAAACACGAGAGTTAAGAGGGTGGACACGCTGAGGGGGGAGGGGTTATAACTTCTGATCACAATTCGGTTATTTTAGAGCGGTAGGCGGGGGGGGGGGGGGCGCATAATTGGGGAGAAGCGAGTTGTAGTAATGGGATGCATCGACGAGACCAGCTACTGCTTCTTGTGCGGCCTGTCACGAATGGCGCGAGCAGTGTGGGTGTTGTCTGGGAGCGGCGGCTGCAGGCCCAGAAGGTCCCGAACGTGATGGTTGTCCTGAAAAGAAGTCGATACTATTGTCAAAATTCCCAGAACTTTCCGTCCAGGCATCCAGACACCAAATACCAAGTGCTTTTTTTGCATTATCGCGGACGGAACGAATTTTTTTTGTATTAGTCTAGAAATGTCTTGTAGCTAATGTTACAATAGTGTTTTCAATAAAATAAATTATATTTCGATTAGAATATCTAAAAACCTTCAAAAATTCGCAATTTTGGCTATTTGGGTCAAAAAATCCATATTTTTTTGCGAGTTTTTAATAACATTTTGGAAAGTTTTTACGTTTACGTTTTACGTAGTAAAATCATTTAGAAACACTTCCACTATCTATATTTACAAAATTAGATCCTCACGAAAGGCCATCCCCCGATAACGCAAAAGAACCTACTAAGTATTTATCCTCTTAGTACATTCCGTTATATTTTAAATGCAAAAAACCATGTAAAAGAATTTTGCAAAAATTGTTGAAATTCGCCCAAAAATATCTATTTTTGCATTTTTTCTGAGGGGAATTTCACGAGCCGTGACGTTTACAAAATGGCGCCTCTATTCAAAAAAAAGCATAAAAAACGTTTGGAAAAACTGCGTTATATAATGAGGAAAAATGAGACCTAGGCAAAAAATGATGCTTTCTAGGAAGTGAAAATGCACTTACCGGAATAAAGCCGTAAAAGGCGGCACGCCTGGTCCTGCACTCAGCACATCGACCCAGCAGCGCTGAACAAGAAATTCATTAAGTGTTGGTTATTGAGCTTACCGTTCGACGGGTTGTCTCGGTTCTGCGCGTGCCACGGGGCAGCCGTGCACCGATTGCGTTCACCCGTCCAGGTGCTGAAAACACGCTATAAAATTGGGCGCTTTCGCATTTCCGGGGGGCGCGGTAGTTTTGCAGGGGGGAGACCAACTTTTTTTCTTAGGATCTCACTAAATATCAAAAACTGGAAGTGTTTATAAATCGTGTTTTACTATTCCTGATCGTGAAAAATTCACAAATTTTATTAAGAACAATAAAATATCCATTTTCCAGACAAAAAGCTGATTTTGGACCAAAATTTCTACTTTTTAAAACTCGTTTAAAATTTTTAGATAGTTTTTACAGTCTAAATATATTATTAAGGTTCTTAACGCTCTAACGTTCTAGAAAAACGCTTCAAAAAGTCGAAAATGTTGTTATTTTTGAGTCGTAAAAATTGATTTTTCGACCTAAAATTAAATCTTTTAATTAAATTTTGTAAAGTTTGTATGCTTAGGAATAACTACAGGGTGTCCCAAAAAAGCACCCCTCTGGCATTTGGCCGTATTACATCCGATGGGTCCCAAAATTGGACCAGGGGTGTATCTGACCCTAAATAAGCACAATCCTGTGTTATAGCCCGATCGCTACAGTGGTTCTCGAGTTATCACCAAAATACCGTTTTCTATGCGATTTTTAACAGTTTTTTCGGCTCTAGGTTAATCTTTTTCGACTTTTCATCGATTTGCATCGACTTCCGGCTGTGAATCCCTAATTTCACTTAATATCCGGGGCGACTTTGCGTTACAAAAATCGTTTAAATCAATTCGTATTTCATTAATTTTAATCCGAAAAATTTCTAGGGGTAAAGAAGCCTTCCTGCATCATTTTCACTTATTAATTTAAGAGTCGACTCTGACGAAAACCATATGAATGCAAAATAAGGTTTATTTTCGTTTGACCTCGAAAACTACTGTAGCTGGCGGGCTATGAATCAGGATTGTGGTTATTTGGGGTCTGATACACCCTTGGTCCAAATTTGGGGCCGATCGGATGTAATACGGCCAAATGCGGGAGGAGTGCTTTTTTATTGGACACCCTGTATAAACAATTTAGAAAGTTTAGAACTATTTATATAAAAAATCTAGGCTTGTGCCGAAAAAAATTTGGACCCCCCCCCCGGGAATCAATTATACAAAATGTAGATTTATACAAAAAAGCCCCCCTCAACATGTCGGTCCTCATGCTAACAGCCCAGACCCGTTAGCATCTGCAAACTTACTTGACGCTGCGATCACAGTTTACACATAGGCGCAGAGCGCCTTCGTTCACCACGAGTTTCTCATCATGGCATGCGACGCATCTGGCGTCGGTGACGGCCATCAAAGTATCCGCCGTCGCCTTGAGAAGGCGAAGCATTTCATCATGTCCTTTCTGTAAAGCAATAACGTACAATTATTTACACAAGGAAAAAGTATGCACTGGACTGTTAGCCGGGGGGAGGAGATGATTTTCAAGGGAAGAGTCTAATTTTCCATGGTAATCCTATACGATCCTACGTAAAAATATTTTTTAATTAATTAAAAATTTTGATACCATTTTACGCCGTTTTTAGATCTAAGTCAAAAATGTATATCAAATATAAGATATCAATAATGTATACAAAATGACGAAAAGGTTACGAATTTTTCAAAAATCCGTAAAATATATAAAAAACATATTTTTGTAGCGTTATCGGGATCAAGAAGTACGCAAAATATTACGAAAACATACTATTTATGTCTCCCCCCCCCCGATAATGCGAAAGCACCGCCCAAGAAAGCATTAGAGGCCCCTTTATACCAAGTTCCTTAGAATACGAATTGTAGTGCAAGCTCCGATTCTTTTGTTAAATCCCGGATACATTTATATCTTTTTTAAATACTTCTATAGTTCAAGCGTGCTGCTAATTGTAAGCACAATGTATAACCACTTTATATGCGATTACTATGCCATCCTAGAGCGCTGTGAAAAATTCGCTGCCCAAATTCCAAATTCATTTCCCCGGCTAAACTTTCCCCCTGCTAACAGTCCAGTACCGCAATCCCCCAGAAAGGGTTCGAAATTTGGTCGTACCTTGGTGCCCTCCCAGCACCAAACGAATGGTGGGGCAAATCGGTTCGTGTGGTTTTGCGCGTACGATGTCTCCAACAAAATGTCGCCAACCTGTAATTGGTGGTGAAATCCAATAGAGGTTCCAGTTTACCCCCCCGCCCCCCTAGCCGACACTCAACTTTTGTTTCTCTGCTCGCTGTTGATCTTCAGGTGTGTAAAGTATACCAAAATGTTGCCTTTTGCTTGCCGTGGCGAGTATTTCGATACACTTTACACACCTGTAGATGAATAGGGAGCTGAGATACGGCAGGTGGGGGCCGGCTGGGGGGGGGGGGGGGGGTAAACTGAACCACAGCCGGCGGCTTACCTTTGGTCCGCCCTGGAATCCGTTGGGAGGACGCACAGAGCGGATGACCCCATAATGGTCGTGCTCAATTTTGTAGTCGATCATGCTGCCCAGGAAGTACACACCTGAAATGAATCGTTCTTGCAGCAGCAAAACAATTGGGATAATGGAACCTCGAATGCTTACTCGGGCGGTGCTTGCGCATTATCGGGGGGGGGGGGAGGGGGACAGCCAAATTTTTTCTAGATCCCAAGTTTTCTATCTATAAGTAGAGAACGAATGCTGTTAAGCCTTTTGCTATTCCTGAACCTTAAACCTTCCAAAATTTTTATTACAAACACAAAAAAATCGCTTTTTCGGCCAAAGTTTCAATATGGAATTTTATGTTGTTTAAAAAACGTTTTTGGGCTCAAAGGAAAAAAATCGGTCCCCCGCCTCGATAATGCGAAAGAGCCCAGTGGCCGTCTTAAAAACTATAAAATTGCGAAAAACTGCCTTGAGCACGTATGTTCCGGTCGTTTTAGGGTTGCGCAATGTACTACAGAAATTTCCTTTCTGCCATTGTAATAAAAACAATTATTCTTTGATTGAGTTTTTCGTATTTGACGAGCGCATAAAATTTTAACTGACCCGTGCGATCGGTCGGTGGCCCGTTGGATGGAGAGCGAGATGGCGAAGGCTTCTCCCGGACGGCGGCCTCGTCTTTCCCATTCTCGCCGTCGCTGGTCTAAGAACACCAATTATTTTGCTAGTCATAAATAGCTTACCAAAGGGGCTGTGTATTTCGGGCGTTTTTGCTGCTTCGAGGGGCCGGCGGAAGGGGAGCGACTCCGGGCGCGCTTCTCCCTGACAGCTCCGTCGTCCTTGCCGGAGTCGCTCTCACTATTCTAAGAACACCAATTATTTTGCTAGTCATAAATAGTTTACCGTTGCAGCCGCATATTTGGGCTTTCGGCCCGGAGAACGGCTGGCACTACCGGCGGTCTTACGAGGACGCAGTTGGCGGCCAGACATTCTAGCGGCCCTGGTGGATGGAGAATGAGCCATTAATCTGCACAGGGGGTCGGTCGGCCTCCCTATTCAAATAATTAATTTAATCCGGTGATTCTAATCACGAAATCTGCAATGCTACAACGCAACCATGCAAAGTGTTCATGACATGCAAATTGGAGCTGCCGATCTAAGCATGTAAATATCGCCTGCCCCCGCTGGTAGCTGCATGGCAATGTTCGCACAACAAAAAAATTTATTGTAAAAAACCAGAAACAAAAGGTTGCTGTAGCTCGATTCGCTGTCACGGGCGACCAGTATTGGATTTACACACGGGTTTTGTGCGCAAAGTAAGGAAGAATGCAGGTTTAAAGGGACAAGGAATCCCCAAAATCGACCCCTACGGGCCACTAGGTCTCAACGGACGACGATAAGCCAAACGGGGCGGGGGGGGGGCGACGGCTTTGCTTTTGCGAAAAATCCAGATTTCTAAAGCTATCAACATCAGGTAATACTATGGAGTGTTGCGTAGCTGTCGAGACCCAGTCGATAAAGGGGTAGATTTTGGTTTTTTGACCCTTTAAAGGACCAGGAAAGGCAGCTTTGGGCTATGGATTACTGACTATAATTTTCCATATAGATTTTTGTTGCATCCGCGACGAGTGTCGCGTGCCGGAATCCATAGCTCCCCCATGCTTGCCATCCTCCTTCTCCTCCCTGTACCCCGCCCGAAGCGCAATGTGCCCGTTAAACGTTCCACTTAACTTCTGTACGCTCTTACTAGAAACCATTTGTGACGTGTTTGAATAAATGGTCGTTTCTGATATCGGACTTTGAAAGCCAACACTTCAACAGGGTAGACGGAGGGGGGGGGGGACACGTCAAACTGCCGACAGCCAAAATGCCGACAGTCAAAAGGCCGACCGTCAAAATGCCGACAGCCAAAAGGTCGACCGTCAAAATTCGAGACAATAAAATGCCGTTATGGTCATGATCGCACACCAACAAATTTATCGTCTAAACACCAGAAAAATTCCAGCTAAAAAACAGCAAAAACGTAGTTGTACCTCGACTCTCTGCAACCAGTATTGCATGTACACACGAGTTTTGTACGCAAAAATAGGGACGGAAGGGCGTTTAAAGGAGCAATGAATTCGGAAAATCGACCTAGGTCTCGACAGCCACGCAATACGTCGACTAGGTCTAGGGTATTTCGCGAAAATTAGGGACTTCTAGGGCTATCAACGTCAGATCTACGCGTGTTACTTTGGAGTGCTGCGAAGCTGCCGAGACCTAGTCGATGCGAGGGGTCGTTTGGTGAATTTTTGATCCTTTAAAGGACCGGGGAAGGCAGGTTTGGGCTATGGATTAATGGCGTTGACTTCCTTATAGATTTTTGCGGCGTCGCGACACGCAACGCGCACGACACTGGAGCCCGCGGTATGGTGGTAGTGCGTTAAAGACCCAGAAAGTGTTGCGTGGCACGTATCGGAATCCATAGCCCCGCCTTGTCGGTCCCTTTAAAGCTTGAGGGATAGAGAGCTAAGCGAAAAGAGAGAGAGAAAGAGAGAGAGAGAGAGAGAGAGAGAGAGAGAGAGAGGAGAGAGAAATAGAGAGCGAACGAGAGAGACAAAGCCGCACACTATCACACTATGTTCAGAATATGCAAATTTGGCACCGGTTTCGGGGTACTGTTGCTGGGTTACGGTAGCAGGGATTGGCCGGTTTTTTGTTTGGTCAATGGGGTTTCTTCGGAAGTGATGTTGTTGGTGGATGAGGATTCCGAGAAACTACGCGATGCCGTGCAGCAGCCGACCCTTTCTTTGAGCTCGCCGACAATCTCGTGGATCTAGAAAGAGTCGATTTTTTAAGAGTTGAGTTTGAGAGAGAGAGAGGGTAAGAGAGAAAGAGTGCGAGAAAGAGAGTAGAGAGAGAGTGAGAGCGCGAGAGACCGAGAGAGTGAGAGAGGGAGACCGACAGAGTGAGGGAGCGAGAGAAAGATCGAGAGCGAGCGAGTGAGATGCCTACAAAACCCTCACCTCTCGATCCTTCGTCTCCGGCAAATTGATGTAGAGATAGGCAAACGCGAAGAGCGACGGGATGACGAAGAGCACGAGGAACGAGAGACACCCGAAATGGGTGTAGGCCGGTAGCACGAGGTAGGAGACGACCAGGCTGATCAGCGTGTTCGTCACGTACATCTTAAAAACCACGATAATGTTTGTGGAAACAGATTCGCATGTTTTAAAGGGCTCAGGAAGGCACAGAATCAACCCTTTTGTTGACTAGGTCTCGACAGTCGTGTTAAAATCAAAAGAGCGTTAGTAGGCACGAAATAAATTTTTAAACATGGTATTAGGGGTCAATATGGTTATGGTAGTTAGCTGTCGAGACCTAGTCGAGGTAAAGGGTCGATTTTAGCGCTTCCCGGTCACTTTAAATGACCTAGATACTACAAAAATTAGGCGATTTTTAAATTGTCGTACCATACTCTGCACCAGAGAGCGATACCGTTGCACGACGAGTTCGCTGGTGATGAAGCAAGAGATCGGGCCCAGCCCCAGCCTGAAAAACGCTTTGAAAACGTTCACTTTCGACCCTTTAAAAAAATTAATCTGGTGCCTTGAAAATCTACAATTTTTTTGATTGACGACATCTTTGACTTTTCTGAATTTTTCGGCGACCCACCCATAGGAAAAGCCGAAAATGCACAGCGCTAAAATACATCCATAGCCCCAGGGGCCACCGTAGTAGCTGAAAAGACGCTCGAACAGAATATACAAGATGAATGAAGAGATATTCATCGCACCCAGGCCGAGAAGGAGAGGACGGCGGCCACAGCTGGAAAAGGAAATAGCTAGCACGATCTCACTCTCTCTTACGCACTCTCTCTCTATCTCTCTCTCTCACCCTCTCTCTCTCTCTGTTTCTGTCTCTCGCTCTCTTGTTCCGCTCTCTATCTCTCTCTCTCTCGTTTCCTCGCTCTCTGTCTCAATCTGTCTCTCTCACTCTCTCTCTCTCTCGCTCTCTCGGTCTTTCTATTACCGTGAAACCACGAAAGTCCCACAAATCCCCGCACCGAATTGCACCAAGATGAACCCGAAAGACGCCAGCTAAAATTAGATTGTGTTATATGGCATAATCCATTGCAGGCAACTAGTGGAGATTCCTAGGGAAAATCTGCTACCTGCGCCATGGCCGGCTCAAACATCTCCTCCAAGAAGTTCGTCGACAGGTAGATGATCGGGAATAGGCCCATGACAAGCTGAAAATACATCGAAATGTATTTTTAGGGTAGCGAAAGAGAGAGAGAAAGAGAGTGAGAGACAGATAGAGAAAGAGAGAGAGAGAGAGAGAGAGAGAGAGAGAGAGAGGGCGAAACAAGTCTTACCTGAAGACTAGCCAACCCAATGAGATATGGCATTCTCAGGTATGGTTCCGAGAAGATCAGCCGGATGCCGCGGTAGAAGTTGAATTTTTCATCGCCGTCCAGCCCCTCTTTTTGGATCTCTTTCAGCACCTCATCAGCGTCGTACTCGTCTCCTGAAAATTGAAGATTACATGGCGTGATTGGATGGATGAGGCAGTAGCAGAGATTGTTTGGGATACAGCTCTCTGTAGGGGGCAAGCTAGCAGGCAATCTTTACGAATGGAATTTTTACTGAGTGAGCAATTACAAGGCGTAATTGGATCGGCCGGCCGGTCAGGCAGACCAGCAGAGATTACTTGGAGTGCGAAAGTGGGCGTGGCTTCTACTGGCACTCCCCCTTTAGGGTTCATAGCTGTATGGGCTAGCTGAGAGAGAGAGAGAGAAAGAGAGAGAGAGAGAGATAAAGAGAGAGCCAGAGCGAGAGATAGTGAGAGAGAGAGAGCGAGAGAGATAGAGAGAGGTGGCGAGCGGGACACAAGGATCGTCTACGACGCAATTTCATGTCGTAATCGATCCTCGACCTACCGTAGTAAAATTCCACCGCCTCCCTGGCCGCCTCCTCATCATGCCTTCCCAGTAGCAGATATTTTGGCGTTTCGTGTAGCGGCAGAATCGTACCAACGCAGATCACTCCCGGGATGATGGCCAAACCTGAAAATTGTGGTTTCAAACATACCCGTAAAACCAAAAATTTCGACTATAAAAATTAAACTACAAACCTGTGAGTGCAATCAAATTCCGCCCAAAAACCCGGTCCATCCCGGCACCCATCCCGACGACCGTACATAGCAAGAAGGTGACCTCGGCCAGGAACGAGGCGACACCGCGGAGATTCGTGGGGGTGGTTTCCTGGAAACAATGCTGGTACACTTTTTAGGAAACAATTACCACATTTTTTGGCGAATAGGAAGGCTGCCTGGCATCCTACACAATTATCTGCTGGCGAAAAAACGCACAAAATAGACGTTAAGCGGTATAAAATGGAATTACTGTTCCACAGGTTTCGGGATTTTGCTTCTTTTACTATGCTATTTTGACATTATTTTCGGCATTTGCATGGCATTTTGACATTTGACATTTCGGGTTGGCGGCTAGGGTTTTCTCTCCCACCCCTCTCTCTCGCCTCCTATCTCTCTCGCCTTCTCTCTCTCTCCCATATCTCTCTCCCTCTCTCTCGCGCCGTCTCTCCCCACTTCTCACCCTCTCTCGCCACAGAATCATCCCCTCTCTCTCGCTGTCTCTCTCACTCTTTACTCTCTCTCCCTCTCCCATGTATGACTCAATCAGTCTCTATGTGTCTTTCCCTCGCCCTCACTATCTCTCTGTCTCTCTCGGTCTCTCTCACGCTCTCTCGCTCTCTCTCTCCCTCTCTCTCTCTCTCTCTCTCTCTCTCTCTCTCTCTATCTCTCTGACGGTCTCCTCACCTGCAAAAATATAATAAGCGTCCCAAAGCTCAACCCTCCGGCGATCGAGCTCGAGATTCTAGCGATAAAAAACAGTTCGGGCAGCATTAGAAGTATTGCGAGATGTAGTAGAACCGTAGAGCAAAGTGATACGCAAGCCGCGTACAGTAAGGCACCTAAAAGATAGGTTTTACCACCCCCTTTAAAACCCCCACTTTTTCGACCAAAACGTTCAGCAAAAAACGGGATCAGCAGGTTGCCGATGAGGAAGCCGAGGTGCCAGACGTTCAGAATAGAGGTCCAGACCCAGATGTACGCCTCCTCGGAGAGACCGCCCTAGAAATAGGAAAATTTGCATAATTTTTCAGTTTCTAAGCGTTTTAAAGGCACTAGGAAGCTCAAAAATCGACCCGTTCGACATACTAGGTATCCACAGCTACACAAAAGGCCACAACCCACCAAAAAAACCCGGAGTTTTTTGCTTAAAATTACCCCTGTTGTTGACGTTTAAATTTAAAGGGACTAGGAAGCGCGAAAATCAACCCTGTTGACTTTCTAGGTCTAGACAGGTACACGAAGCGCCAAAAACCACCGAAAAAGGTCATATTTTTGCTCAAAATGATTCTTGTTGTTCGTGTTGAGCTTTTAAAATCGAGCCCTTGCTTTAATTAGGTCTCGACAGCTACGTAAGGCTCCAAACGACGCATGAAAGTTTCGTGAATTCTGCTGAAATTGCCATTTGAAACGGGCATTTAGAGCATGGCATAGCGGTCTAGGCCTAGTCGAGGAAAGGAGTCGATTTTTTGAGTTCACTGATACCTGATATCCACGCGATAAAGCCGTTCCATTCAGAAATTCTTTGAAAGAGTGTAGAGCCGTATTTGGATAAGTATTGGAGTAGCCTTCCTGGAATTTTCTGGTTATCTCGCTCTCTCGCTCTCTCTCTCGCTCTCTTTCTCTCTCACTCTCGCTATCCATCTCTCTCCCTCTCTTTGCCTCTCTCTGTCTCTCTCTCTCTTTCTCTCCCTGTCTCTCTCTCTCTCTCTCTCCCTCTCTCTCTATCTCGTCCCCTAAAACTCACCGGAAAATTGACAGAAATCCCCAAGATCGAAGCGAGGAGCATGATCATCACCCTTCCACCCCGGGGAGCATAGAATTTATCGAGATTGGCCATTGTTGTTGAGCAGACGAGAGAAGTATAATTTTTAGTTTGATTTTTTGCGTTGTGCAGCTTCTAAGGACCGACCATAGGGCTGAAAAATCGGATTAAATTGGCGTTTAAAATTCATGAAGATAGAGAGGGAGCGAGAGAGAGACAGCGAGAAAGCGAGAGAGACAGAGAGAGAGAGAGAGAGAGAGAGAGAGCGCGAGAGAAAGATCAGAGCAAGCATTTCAAAGCCAAATCCTTGTTTTGTGAAGCCATAAAATGATGTGACAAATCGGGGGGCGGGCGCCGATAAACAAAAACAATAATGATTTATGAAAAACACGAAACCTGTAGGGAAAAAAAAAGAAAGCGAGCAGAGAAAGAAAAGAGCAAGAAAAGACAATCTTGAGCATGAGAAAAAAACATAATTAGGCCTGCATTGTCGTTGTCTCTCTCTCTCTCTCTCTCTCTCTCTCTCTCTCTCTCTTTCTCTCTCTCTCTGTCTCTCACTCTCTTTCGCGCTTTCTCTCCTGGCGGGAAGAATCGAAACACGCTTATTAACGACCTCTTGAATGCCAAAGATTCGTTTAGAAAATTTTTAGCTAAATCGTAGTGTCATTTTAAAGTAAATACCGTATCCCGAGACCAAAATTCAAAACCTAACATTTTTAGAAAAACTCGAAAGCAGCTGGGCTGTGACGTCCGAGTGGCCAGTTGGCTACAACTGGGCAGAGCATGTTAAAAACGATAGAAACTTAGACAAAGAGAGAGAGAGAGAGAGAGAGAGAGAGAGAGAGAGAGAGAGAGAGCCAGAAACACTAACAAAGAAGAACGCTGGGCGAAATCTCTAATTCTCGTGGCAAACAGAAAAATCGGAACAGCTGCTTCGAGACGCGTCTGACAGCCGTTTTTCGCGGCTTTTCGGCTTTTGCCCCCCCGGTCGGCGCTTTTTCTTGGTTACCTTGTGACCTTTCCAAGTTTTCGGGTCTTTCGGCAAGGATTTCTAGTCGCAGTTCCTGGTCCAAACAAACATTTTAGAAGTTAGGAAGATTCATCGGAGGCCGGGCAAGCTAGCAGGGATCATTTGGGAGCAATCATATCGTATGAAATCACGCTCAACAGCTGGCAGAGATTTTTGGTTCCAAATATCAGACTTGATTGCTCATGGGCAGGCTAGCAGCGATCATTTAGGACCCCTTCGAGTCGGGCGCAAAATAGGCAGGCTAGCTGGGATCTTTTGAGACTTTCCGTGACACTAGTCGAAATAGATCAACTATCAGGGTTTATTGAAGAATGATGGAAATCTATGGAAACGGGCCGGCAGCGATAATTCAGGAAATGGCGTTGTGGAGGCAAGCTAGCAGCGATCATTTCGAAATCGCGCCAAGAGGGCAAGCCAGCAGAGATGATTTGGGAATTCGAGACAAGGGGCACGCTAGCAGAGGGCATTTAGCACGCCGTGACAAGCGGGTCAGCTAGGAGCAATCATTTAGGAAATCGCACCAAGAGGGCAAGCTAGCAGACTAATTTAGGAAAGTGTTTGGTTTTTTTATAAGTCCAGAAAATAATGGACAAATTTTCAAAACATAAATTCGATATTCTGGCCGCAACCGACAATTCTTTGGAGATACCAGTTTTTCAAAGTTTTTACGCTTAGGAATATTTAAAAGCATTTTAAATACCCTTCATCCATTAATTTAGAGAAAAAGGTTGGTTCCCCCCGATAATGCCAAAGAACCGTTATCGATGGGCAAGCTAGCAGCGGGCATTTGAAAATTTCTTAAAACACGCGGTTGGCTACAGTACCCCCAAAAAAACCAGAAATTCCTGGAATTCCGCGAAATACTAAACACGAAATTGGCACGAATGCCTAGTCGAGGAGGGGCGATCTTCGCAATTCCCGGCCCTCCCTTTTTCGGCGCCGCCCCCAAAAATTGCTCAAAAATTCCCGTTCCGTCACGATCCTACAAACGGCGGCCCCGGAATGCGGGATTCGGGCCGGCACGCCATATTTTGGGCTATTCCTCTGGGCAGAGTCCTCTAAAACATGCGCCAGCTACCGTACACCTCCAGAGTAGCCCTGCTGGAGTGCTATGAATTTTTCAAGGCACACGCACAACCCGCGTGTGCTGAAATATTTCGTAGTTACTAGGTGCCGAGTAGGTGCTTGAGTTTTTTGGAATTTTTGGAATCTTTTATTTATCACTTTTTCTGGGTCATTTGGGCAAACTAGCAGAGAACTTTGTGGAAACCTTTGATTTTATCATTAAGGCAGAAACTTAGCCGTGGTCGTCCGAGCAAAAACGCGAATTTTCAAACCGCGCAGCGGCAAACGAGCAGACTTTCTTTAGCTCGGTTTGCGCGGCAAACTAGCAGGGATCTTTGGGGAAACCGAAACACGTCTAGGCAGGCTAGCAGAGGCTATTGTGGAAATTCCAAGAGCAATGCTAGCAAAAATTCTTTAGGAAGGCATAGTAGCAGTGTTCCTTTGCGCAATCTAGGCCTAGCGGGTGATAATGAGAAATTGGATAGGGCAGGCTAGCAGAAATTCTTTATACCAATCCCTTTCCGGAAGGTTTGGAAAAGGGGGTGCTAGCAGAGATCTTTTGCGGAAAACCTTGTCCAAAATCAACCAATGACGATACGTATTTTTCAATGGCAAGCTAGCAGAGATCCTTGGACATTAGGGACGTTAGGGCCATCAAGCCCCGTTAAAGGGGCTAGAAGGTCCCAGAATTGACCCCTGAATCGACTGGGTCTCGACAGCAACGAGAAGCTCCAAATGACGCTTAGCGCTATGGCTTTTTCATCATACGAAGTTCTAGCGTGATCCGAATGACAATTTTTAGTCGTCACGTGGAGTGCCGCGTAGCTGTCTAGTAAGGGTAAGTTCGCAGCGGTTTAGGGGTGATTTGGAGCTTTTCGGAGCCTAACTCGGCGTTTCTCATTCCCTTTAATAGGACGGGCGAGATAACTTCGCAACGCTACTAGGGAAACGTTGGTTAAAAGCCCGTTTAAGGAGTGATTTGTAGTGTGGCGTAGCTGTTTAGACCTAGTTGAGGGCGCGGTCGATTCTCGGGGTTTCCCAGTCCCTTTAATGACCAAAATTTGACCACTCCCCCAGGATTATGTAGTTTAAGGGAGGGGGGGGTCAATTTGTGAGCCGCGCACTCAAACCGGGCCCTGCCACTCGAAATTAGAAGCTGTAGAGGCCCCCGACAAAAAAAGAAGAAATGGAGAAAATCGGCAAATATCCACCACACCCGGTTTTGTTTGCTCAAATTTGTGGGTGTATGTGGCTTTTGCGGCTTTTGCCGGCTGCTTGGAAACCCGAACGGAGCGGCTGAGGAGGTGGTAAAGGTTTTTTGATTAATTATGTTTTGCATAAAAAATATCAAGGGCCTGGCAGGCCAGCAGAGATTCTTTGAGGAATTGGAGGGGATGGAGGGGGCAGGCCAGCAGAGATTCTTTAAGGAATTGGAGGGGATGGAGGGGGCAGGCCAGCAGAGATGCTTTGAGGAATTGGAGCGATGGAGGGGGCAGGCTAGCACAGAAATTTTGGAATTTTCCAGAAGATTCTAGATCTAGCGCCAAGACTACTATACACGTATCGGGCGCCAAGCCGGCTGGCGAAGAACACGCAGGCGCCGAATATATAAATATTAAGAGGCGTGAAGTGATAGATCAAAGGATTCGCCGGTAAATATAGCCTGGATGGTACGGGAATGGCACGGGGCACGCTAGCAGAGGTCATTGGGGAATTTATGCGCTCGGTCTGTCTCTGTTTCTCTCTCTCGCTCTCTCTCCCTTTGTCTCTTTCCCTCTCTATAATTTTCTCACTCTCTCGCTCTCTCTCTCTTTTTCCCTCTCGCGCTCTCTCTCTCGCCCTCTCTCTCTGGCCCTCTCTCTCTCTCTCTCGCGCTCTCTCTCTCGGTACGGTGGGTGCAAAACTCTCAATGCACCCCAGACATGTTGTCTGAATTCTAAACTACAACTACCCGGATCGAATTACGCCACGAAATTAACCACCCCCAAAAAAGAGCGTCACTTCCGTTCGAGGTGGCAGGGGTGAGGGTCAAATTTCGCAGACATTCGCATTTGCACGCCCGCCGCAGCCGCTGACGCAATTTTCAAGTGCTCCTCAGACAAAAAAGATGGAATAGCAATTGAAATATTGAAGTGTGGGATTTGCGGCGGCAAAAAAGTGTCGGGGCGACAGTTTAGTTTAGGAAAACCGGGGCTTAAGGGGACATGCAAGGCCTTGTTGGCCATATTTTCGTTATCAAGTTTACTGCGGCGCGACACGCAACGTGTAGGGCGGAGGCTGCGTTGCGTAACGGATTATGACCGTATTGTCTGTAAGGTATTTATGGCGAGAATCGTCCCTTTAAAGGGACCTGCCAATGCCAAAAACGACCCAGTTTGAAGTCCGAATTACACCTTTCAAAGGCCGTTTCGAAAAGACCAAGCGAAGCGCCGTCTAGGGCGTCCAAGCAAAAATCTAAATAGCAGAGGAGTGTCATTTAGAGCGTAGCGTAGTTGTCGAGACCTAGTCGATTGAAGGGAGTTCGATTCTCATCCTTCAAAGTCTCTTTAGGCATACCAAAGCACAATATTGAGGACGCATTATGGGTGTACTTCGTAGCGCCAATGGCTCAGGTTGCAAAATTCAACGTTTTCTCGATTTTCCTAACTCTTTAAAGGACCCAGCAAGCGCGCCAAACGACCCCTGCGAACGACTAGGTCTAGACAACGATGCAAAACTCCAATATGTAGTGTAAAACGAACCAAACCACAAGCTCCAAGCGCCCGTTGCGGTCAGGAAATCACCCCCCGAAAAACGCTTGTTATTTCCGGATTTTCCGGGTCTCCCCAGTTCCCGTAAATCCGGAAATTGGCGCGGCGAAAATAAATCCCTTCCCAGGCGGGAAATCCGGCTCAAAAAATGACAACCCTTATTGTTTTTAAATGTTTTCCTAGGATGAATAAATTTCCGGATAATCCAGCAGGACAGCTTAATGGAAAATCAGCCAGGTGGGTTATAAAAACAAAAATAAAAATTAATTAAGTTTTTACACGCAGAAGGTTCGCGAGCAAATGCGAAAGAGCGAGAGAGAGAGAGAGAGAGAGAGAGAGAGAGAGAGAGAAAGAGCGAGCGACGTAGAAATATAGAAAGTGAGAGAGAGAAAGAGAGAGAGGGAGATAGAGAGAGCGGGAAAGAGAGAGAGAGGTCAGAAAACGAGCGAGAGAAAGAGAAGAAGAGAGAGATAAAAAGAGAAAGAAAAGAAAGAGAGCGAAGAGAGAGAGAGAGAGAGAGAGAGAGAGAGAGAGCGAGAGAAAGAGCGAAAGAAAGCTTTTGAAAAATAGCGCGAACTCGGTTTATTTTAAAAAACACTACCGTAATCCGGCTGATTCAATTTCGGGCCGGCCAAATTGTGAATCGTAATTTGTAATCTGTAGGCCATAATTTGTGGCCGTTCGCTCCCCCAACGGCCTCCGCCGAGAAAATAAATTAAAAATTCTGAGCGTTTTCTGGTCGTGGGAAAAGCTCCGCGGAAATGGATTTCTTTGTCACCACAGTACCCGATAAATTTTTGGAAGTCAAAATCCCAGTTCTTGGAAAACAGAAAAGAAGCGGTTCCGGAATTACTGTAGAAATTGAGCCCAAACATGAAATTTTAAGCTTGGGAGAAATAGTCGAAAAATTCGGTTCCATGAAATTGCAACAAAGGATTTAAAGCATAGGATACTGTACATCGGGCAGAGTTATATTAGGTAAGCTAGCGAAGATTCTTAGAATATACAGTAGCCGACCCTCATCCGCCGCTCCTAAAGAATCTCTGCTAGCTTGCCAGGACAGGTGAAAAGTTGAACCATGGGAAATTTAGCAAAAAGGGGAGGATAGACAGAGAGAAACCGAGAGAGCGAGAGGTTGAGAGAGAGACAGTGCGTCGAAATGACTGGAAAAACTTTTGCAAAAACTTTCGAAGTTGAGCGGAACCGTTTGGGGGAGAGAGAGCGAGAGCGAGGGAGAGAGAGAGCGAAAGAGACAGAGAGAGAGAGAGAGAGAGAGAGAGAGAGAGAGCGAGGACGAGAAAGAAAAAGAGCAAGAGGAGAGAAAACCAGAAAGGCAGAACCAGTGTGTTTGCGAGAGAGAGTGAGAGTGAGAGTATGAGCGAGAGAGCGAGACAGATAGAGAGCAAGAAATAGCGAGACTGACGAGATATAAAAAAATTTTAAAAAATTTTAAAAAAAAAAAAAAAAAAAAAAAAAAAAAATTAAAAAAAAAAAAAAAAAAAAAAAAAAAAAAAAAAAAAAAAAAAAAAAAAAAAAAAAAAAAATTAATTTTATAATTTTAAAAAAAATAAAATTTTTAAAAGTATTATTTTTATTATAAAAAAAAAAATAAAAAAAAAAAAAAAAAAAAAAATTTTTAATTTTTAAAAAAATTTTTTTTTTTTTTTTGAAATTTATATATAAAATATTTTTTTTTAAAGATTAAATTGGAATTGTAAAAAAAAAATATAAATCAAATAAAAAATTTTTAAAAATTTTAAATTTTATGTTTTGTTTTATTATTAACTAAAACTAGAAAAACAGACTGAAAGATGCCAAAAACTACACCCTTCCCCGTTTTGCCTAACCCAAAAAAAGTTCCCGGTCCAGGGATTCTGCAAAATACCCAAAAACCGGCCCGCAAGACCGGGCCCCGCGCTAGACATGCGTTTTTCGGGATGGCCGTTAGTTCCTCCCTCGCCATTCGTCAATCCGTCTGTTCGTCTGTTCGCGCGTTCCATACCCAGAAATTTTAGTCTACTTCTCTGTGCCCTCCGCTCACCTGGTGCTCTCTCGTTTGGGTGGTGCTCTTTCCGAAAAGCCCCGGCCAGACGGTGACCACTTGGGGGGAAGAGAGAGAGAGAGAGAGAGAGAGAGAGGGAGAGAGAGGAGGCGGGACACAACATATATTGGGCAACCATTTGGAAATATGGGCCGCCGAGCCGAGGGGAACTTTCGAGAACGTTCCGCCGGGATCTGGGGTGAAAGGCTCCTGGCAATGGCATTTCCGGATTTTTTCGGCCGGATTCCTTAAAGATCTCTGCTGTGCTATCTTGTCTGTTCCGGCTTGGAAATTTGAAGAATTCCCAATGAATGTTTGCTAGCTTGCTCGCTTGGAGCAGAACTTTCAAGCAGCAGGCTTTATAAGCTCGCAAATGAACGAATAAAAATGTATTGCCGACAGAGAGAGAGAGAGAGAGAGAGAGAGAGAGAGAGAGGGGGAGCGAGATAGAGAGAGAGCGAGAGAAAGAGACAGAGCGAGATAGAGAGGGAGAGAGCGAGATAGTGAGAGATAGAGAGAGAGGGACTGAGAGACAGAGAACCGAGGCTAGCATGCCCCCTTTCCACATTTTTATGCCGAATTTACACATATAAATTTATCCACAAAATACAACGAGATCAAACACCAAATTGTTCCAAATTACGTAATAATAACATCGCCCACAAATTTCACGTTGTACTTGGTGGACATGCGCTGGATGAAGTCGTTCTTCACAATGTTGAGGGTGAACCTGAAACGAAATTGGAGTTTGTAGTTGATATATCTAGATAACTACTTCAAGGTCAAAAAATATTTTCACAGAAAATAGATAAAAATCCAAAATTTCAGTTTAGAAAATTTTAGCGTTTTTATTATTAGTGTTTTTCACTAACCGTGTCGACCGCAAGTTCATGAGGGTGACGGTCATCTGCCTGTTGTAGGCGGTGAACACTGGTAGGGCAGTGGTGGGTCCCGTGGCGCTCTGCGTCACGGCTCCTCCCTCCACTTTACCGTACAGTGGCCCCTTCGCTGCACCAGTCAGCATGATCGGGTTTTCGATCTAACATTTTTCATAGATATCTTTTGTTTGTCTCGATTTCTCTCACTCTCTCTCTCGCTGTCTCGCTCTCTCTCTCTCAAAATTCCTACCTGAATCGGCTGATAATCGTCGTTGATTGTAACTCCTTGGGTCGGCACTTGGGCGTTCAATAAAGCTTCGATCATCTGAAACAAAACATCTTAAGGGGAGATATAAGCGTGAAAATTAACCTGATTGCAAAGTCTAGATCTAGCTAGCTACGCGGCACTCCAACACACAAAACTCAAAAATTAAGCATTTTTGCGTTTTGTATATCAATCCTTGAAAAGCCGACTGACAAAAGACGACAGAAACTGACAAAAACAGCTGTGATTTTTGAAATTGGGCTCTTCTATAGATTTGGAAAACAGATTCGGCATCAGCGAAAAATTCTGCACAAGATAGGCTTGGTCTCGAATGGAAATTCCAGCGTATGTGAAAACACTTTGCAGTTTAGATTTTTCTACTTTCACAGTCCCTTTAAAATACCATGCCCCTCACCGATGCTTGAATCTCAGCCGTTGCCCTCGTGTTGGCCGTCGTCGTGTCGTTCGACTGACCCACAAAGTACCAAATCGCCAGCGTGTCGGAGCTCTAAAAAAGGTGGTTGAAGTCAGGTCGCACCGGCATTACTCCTCGCAAATAGCCAGATGCGGCCGCAACGCGACCACGACGCATTTGTTTTAGTTTTTTTCCTAATAAGTTCGATTCGTGAATACTCTAATTTTGGCTTCTCAGCTTCTTTAAAGTTCTTAAAGGACGTAGAACTTACAACAGTCGGGAAATACGTCCAGCCGACCGGCGGGCTGATGTGCATCGTGAACTGCGGGTTCGTGATGATCTCGAATTCATTCGAATTGCCTGGAATATTGATCTGTTTTTCTTCCGAGAATCTCTGCTAGCCTGCCCCCCCCCATCCCCGCCAATTCCTCAAAGAATCTCTGCTAGCCTGCCCCCTCCATCCCCTCCAATTCCTCAAAGAATCTCTGCTAGCCTGCCCCCTCCATCCCCTCCAATTTCTCAAAGAATCTCTGCTAGCTTGCCCCTCCATCCCCCTCCAATTCCACAAAAAATCTCTGTTAGCCTGCCCCTCCAGCCCCTCCAATTCCTCAAAGAATCTCTGCTAGCTGGCCCCGAAAAGGTATCAGAAAAGCCGGAAACCTACCACTACCACATCCTTGGCCCATCCTCGCCCATGACAACATGCAAATTAGGAAGATAGCGGAATTTCGGCGCATTTTCGAGGCGGAATTCGTAGGGGCGCGGAACTGCCATTTTTCGGCTTAAATAATTCCGGAATTTACGATTGCGACTGGTACGTTTACGGCGCGGCGAACGGGGCCGCAAATTCCGCGACAATACGCCCCGAAAAATCTTGGGGTGCTGCAAAATTTGCATAAAATCGCCTGATATTTGCTAGGGCGGTCTGCCGCCCGGGGCCCGCCCGTAAAAAGGTGTAATGTGTACTCGGGTGGGCGTTAAAAATGGGCGAAACGGAGCAATGGAACAGCTTTTCGCCAAGGATTCAAAAAGTAAAATTAAAAACCCATGGATTAAAATTATGATAAGATAAATTTAGACATCGAAAATCCCTAAAAATTTTGTTAGCCTTTTTAAGTAGGGTAAATTTAAGCTTGGGAATTTTCAACGTAAAAAATTTGCATACGAAATTTGCATACGGAATCAAGAATTAGATCTAAGCTAGTTTGCATAAAGTTGGCTCCGAAATCGCGAAAAAGCGCACCCCATTCGCCAGTTCTCGCCATGTCGCGACCGAGCGAGATTGCAAACTTTGACTTTTTTCTGGTAACTTTTTGAGCTATTTTTGCAGTTTTTGCGCAATTTTAGGGTAACGTATTCAAAATACTTTAATGTTGGTTTGTAGCCTGTAGCCTGTTGTTCAAATTTGTAGTTTCTAGCTGTATCGTGTAGCCTGAAATTGTAGCCTGAAGTTTCCGGTTACATTCTGTGGTTTCTACTTGTGGTCTGTAATTTTTAGTTGTAGCCTGTAGCTTCCAATTGTGGTCTGTAGTCTATTGTTGTCGTCTGTAGTCTCAGGTTGTAGCCCGGAATTGCTAGGACAATTTTGTGGCATTAAAATTCAGTTGTAGACTGTAGTCTGCAGCCTTTAATTTGTAGTTTGTATCTTTCAGCAAGTAATTTGTAGCTTATTGTCTATGTCTGTATCGCTGTTCGACTTTGTAGCCTGTAGCCTGTCGACTGTAGTCCCGTTTTTGCAGCCGACGCTCGCGTTGCGGCTGAAGGCGAAGGTGCGCGACCCGGAGACGCTGCATGAGCATCAGAATTTTGGTGCGAATTTTTACGTCTTAAAAAGACCATGAAGCGGGAGAATCTACCCCCTGCATCGACTAGGTCTCGACAAACACGCGACACCCCAAACGACACCTCAAATCGCAAACGAAATCGCTGCTAAGTCGCTATTTGAGTACAATAATAAGCAGGCGTCATTAGGTGTGTCGCGTGGCTGTCGAGACCTAGTCGATGGAAGGGTCAATTTTCGGGCTTCTTGGTCCGTTTAAAGGGGTGGTGTCGCTTAATTTCATCGATTTCAGCCACAAACGCGCTGCTCTCCCTCTCGGCCTTCACCGCGGTCAGCTTCCAGATTGCCGAGAAATGCGCCGAGCACGGGACCGGTAGGGCAATTTTAAAGGGACCGACAAGGCAAGACAAGGCGTGCTATGGCTTTTCTGGTACTGGACTCTTAGCGGGGGGTGATGTTTAGCTGTGGTAATCAAATTTTTCCCAGTGATTCCTCAAGACCCGATGACGAAATCTAAATAATTTTATGCGATTTTACACGATTTTCCGATTTAAAGAAACACAAAAAAGATTATGAAATGTATGAAAAATTACCAAAAAAAATCAAATTTTTAAATTTTTATGTTGATGTAATTTTCCAGCTATTGAAAACTATTAAAAACGCTATAAAAACTAGGAGGTAGAAAAACTGACGAAAGGGAGGTGAACATAAAATAAAAATTAGTTTTCCCTTGCTGAAACTCTCCCCCCGCTAACAGTCCTGTACCGAAACCGAAAAAAGGGAGCGGTCGCGGGAGATATTAGTCGATTCCAGTAATGTTCCTGATCGCGTTCGTCATCTCGTACCTGCTGTGCGTGCCGACCGTCGCCTTCTCCGAGTTCGCGCTCGGCCGTGGCAGTGGCATCGATTTGCTGCACATTTTTGGGCAAATCTCCCTCTCCACATCTGGTAGAGTTTTTTCAGCCCGGTATACTAGAGGGCGAGAGAGAGAGATAGAGAGAGAGAGAGAGAGAGAAAGAGAGAGAAAATAGAGAGAGACAGAGAAAGAGCGGGAAAGGTGGGGAGCGTGAGACAAAGAGAGAGAAAGGAGGGAGTGAGTGAGAGAGGGAGATCTTTTCCAGGAATGGCCGCTCTGCTCGTCTGCGGCTTTGTGTTCCGCTACGCCACCTGCGTGCTCCGCAACGCGTACTCCGTCGTCGCCGGACTGCTCGTCCTTTGGAGTGCGTGTTTTTAGACGTTTTTTTGCTTTTTTTTGTGTGTTTTATTGCAAAACTGTACACGGGGCTTGGTGGAGGCGATCCCAGAGATGGGGAAGAGAAGATTCCTAAGATTCTGACATCATTGTCGCAATTCCTCAAAGAATCTCTGCTAGCCTGCCCCCGTCCATCCCCTCCAATTCCTCAAAGAATCTCTGCTAGCCTGCCCCCTCCATCCCCTCCAATTCCTCAAAGAATCTCTGCTAGCCTGTCCCCTCCAACCCCTCCAATTCCATAAAGAATCTCTGCTAGCCTGCCCCGCTTACCTTGCATCTATGCGCACTAATGATAGCCGTTGTTCTGCTCCCATTCCGGTGACAACTGATCGGGTATTCCTAAAGTTATTCAGATAAAAATAACTTCCTTTTAGTCCTTATTTTATGCGATTTTTACCTCCGACTCGTAGCGCCTATTAATAAAATATCGTAACCGATCATAAATTCCGACTCGGCAGCCAGAAGACGCAAAAATATCGCTCCGATCGACAACGGGGATTCCGGCTAAAAAATTGTCGTTTTTCTGTGTTTTCGTTTATTCTATTGCACTTAAATTGCTCACTAGTTAATTATTCTATTTTGGAGCTAGAAATTTTTGTATTAAATCTCACCCGCCCTGGCCAGCATTCCGGTGAAAAACGCGTCCTCCACGATGAACGGCTAAAATATGTAGGTTTTTCGAAGTCGCAAAAAGCGGCAAAGAATCTCTGCTAGCCTGCCCGTTCCATTCCCCAATGATGTTTTCCAGCTTGCCTCACCACTTTCCCAAATACCCTCTGCTAGTCTGCCCTCCGAACTGACCACTTGTCGATCCGCTTTTTCGAGAATCATCTTCAACGCTCGAAATGACATCAAATACGCTGGCCCGCTACAGTACGCCGGGAATTGCTCGGAGGCCATGGCCAAGTACGGCACGTACCTAATTACGACATCAAAATCAGGACGGATCTACGGTAACCCACCACTCTGAGCACGGATCCCTCTCTGCCACCACACCCGCATTTATAGAGCAGTAGATCTCGGGGATTCCCTTCGGTTTTTCGAGCTCCAATTCGTGGAACAATCGATCCAAATCGGCTACCGTATCCTTGCCGTCAGCCTGAAAATTGGATAGTTTGTTTTTGGATTGAAATTTTGAGTATTTTCGTGCAGATTTTGTAATTTTTTAGAAGATCTGACCTTGAAAAGCTACTTTAAATCATCTTAGAAAAATTCTGGGAATTAAGAAATGGTTTTTCGGGACTTTCAAGGTATATAAATCCGCATTTTATTGATACAGTAGTCAGCTTTTTGGTAGCACAATTTATTAAACCTGTAAAGTTATTTAAACTTGGTCTTCCTTCACACAATTTTTTAATTTTTTGACATTAGCGATTTTTACTTCCGGTGCTTTTAAAGGGGTAGGATATGGACAGTTTTTTAATTTTTTTTTGGGTATGGATGCCTTAGCAGCAAGGATTTTTCCGCGACACGCGACGCACACGCACGCATTGCGTCATGGACATGATTATCACGGTAAAGCGGTGCGCGCGTTGCGTGTGGCGACGCCACACCGTTCATCCAACCCGTGATCTTGCCTTCCCCGTCCCTTTACCTTACTTTTAGTACGTAGCCATCCACCTTCCGCTCGGCCAGCCATTTGTAAGCGACGAGTTCCTGGAAAATACGTTTTTAAAGGGAGCGGCTGAGTTTTGCTTTTTGAAGCTAGGGCCGACCTTTTGCAACAAATTCTCGTACATCTCGGCAACATCCACGATTAGGGGGCAACTCTCGGATCGGCTTTCCACTTCCGGTTTAGCGGCCCGACCGGTCAGGAAAATTATTTGCGCCTTGCCTTCCTAGAAATCTTCGTTTCTGCGCTTTGCTGAGGTTTTTGATACCTTTACAACCCTCGAATTCTCTGGATTTGCCCAGAGACTCCGGATTTCCTGTTGACGATGTACGTCTTCGGCCTTTATGACGACTAGTACGATTAATTTGGCGCTTTTTGATAGGTCCGGAGCGTGCAGGATGAATCTAAAATTTTCTTTGAATAAAGTTTACTAACTAGAGGCGGGGTAGTAGAGCGAGAGAGAGAGAGAGAGAGAGAGAAATAGAGAGAGATCGAGAGAGAGTGAGTGCGAGAGAAAGAGTGGGAGTGAGAGTGAGAGAGCGATAGAGAGCCTGAGATATCGTGAGAGGGTGAGAGAGCGAGAGTTAGAGATAGAGAGAGAGAGAGAGAGAGAGAGAACAACCTCTCACCTTGAATAATTTCGCAATATCGACAAATACTGGGGTCGAAGAAATCGGAGTTTTCCCTCGCATCTGGCTCGTGAAAATGACACACCCGGAAATCCAATATTCAGCGCATAGAGCAGCGAAAATACTGAAACACAACACAGCGTGGAAAATCTGATACTGGGCTGTTAGCGGGGGGAAACCTGGTTTTTTTCTAAAAGTCCAGACCTGCTAGTAACGTAATAGTAAGTCTCGTCCCCGGGAATGCGAAAGAACCATAAATTTTAACTTACCAACGACGGTGACCAGAAAAATGGCATATAGTCGGCCATCCTGACGTCTTTTCGGCATTCTGGTTATTTTAGATTAGGTTTTTAATTTTTAGCGAAGAAAGTTGTTGATAAATAATTTTTAGGTGGGCAAGAAATGTGCAAAATTCGCCCTAAAGGTGTCAGCCCGGGGGTGAAATCTCAATTTTTGGCGGGGTCAAACAAAAACCGTGACGACGACCTGCTAATCGCGGGTGCGGATCAAATGGCCTCGTTTTTTCCAGAGGGCATCCCCTTCATCTAAAGCAAATTGTTGCCCTTTCAGGGTGAGATCAGAGGATTGGTGGTTGCGGGGTGGATTTTGGTTGGAGATCGTAAGAAAGCGACATAGAATCTCTGCTTCCTCCATCCCCCTAATTCCTCAAAGAATCTCTGCTAGCCTGCCCCTCCATCCCCTCCAATTCCTCAAAGAATCTCTGCTAGCTTACCTTAGAATTTCGACAAAATCTAGCCCATTCCTAGCCTCTTCGGTCGGGGCCTGCTCGCAGAGACCCTGGTGGAAATATTGAAATTTCCGATTTTGCAGATAACGCGCAGCCGCGGACGCTCTGCCCGGTGGATGGGAGTTGTGTTCAGTTGGGGTACGTTCAGGATCGGCGAGCATGGAAAGGAACTCACAAGGCTCGAGTCTCAGTTTTTATGTGGCTTCCAGACTTCCCGGTCCCTTTAAACCCCTTGAAAATTGACATTTAGCACGGCGCTGAACTGTTCGGAGGAGATCCCAGCCGATCTGCTCGACGAGAAATGCTCGATGCTGGCCAAGAGTTTTCTGCTGGCCGCCGCCCCGGACCGGATGAGCGGAATGATGCACCTCTTCGACCATGAGCTCATTTTGGTAGGGGTTGCCTTTGGGAAGGGCGAGACACGCTACACTAACGCAGCGCGCTTAGCCTAGGCTTCGTTTAGTCTTGGCTTAGGCTTCGTTTAGGCTTCGCTTGGGTTTTGCTTGGGCTTGGCTTAAGCTTGATTTAAGCTTCGCTTAGGCTTCGTTTAGGCTTGGCTTAAGCCTGGCCTAGGCTTGGCTTAGGCTTGGCTTGGGCTTGACTTAGGCTTGGCTTAGGCTTGGCTTAGGCTTGGCTTAGGCTTGGCTTAGGCTTGGCTTAGGCTTGGCTTTGGCTTCGCTCAAGTCCTCAAAAAGTCCCCCCCCCGATAATGCAAAAGAACCGACTGTTGTCTTTCAGAACGTATCCCCGGTATGGTTGGTGTTGGGCGTGGTGGCGTTGTACTTCACCATCGGCGCGGTGCTGCTCTACCTTCCCCTCCACAACTTCCCCTACACCATGTTCACCATCGGCTGCTGCTTCAAGGTGTTCGTCTGCGGCGTGCTCATCTATGCCTGTAAGCGGATAGTTTCTATTTTGTTGGCTTGTTTGCTTACCCACGTTCCTGCCGACCCCCGCCCCACCTCTCTGTTCATCTACAGGTGTGTGAAGTATACCAAAATACACGCCAGAGCAGGGCAAACATTTTGGTATACTTTACACACCTGTAGATGAACAGGGAGCCGAGATACAAAAGCTGGGCGCCCGGCTGGGGGAGGGGTAAGGCGGCTCTGGCAAACTAGCAGTGATCATTTGTGGAAATTACATTTTTTTTACATTTTCATTATCTTTTCAAGTGCGCGAGCTGAAGCCGTGGCCGCTGATCGAGCGGGGGTTGCTGACGAATGTGTGGCTGCTGGGTTGTGACGCGTTGATGCTGGCCGCGTCGGCGCAGTGGTACGGTTTCCGGTTTTTTATTGGGGCAGTCTAGCAGAGATTTTTTGGGATTGACTCGAATCACGCAGCTAGCATTGCTTTGTGAATCAATTTCTGGTTTAAGTGCACTAGCGGGGGGCGTGGGAAGGGTCCTGTGCGTGGATTTGTGCCCCCCCGCTCACGCACAAGAACCGAATTTTATGGCAGATTAGCTGAGATTTTTTGGGAAAATAGCTGCTGACATCTAAATAAGCTAGCAAAGAATCCTTGAGAAACCTTGCCGCCCGTTGGGAGGCTAGCATGGACTCTTTAGGAAATCCATCGAAAGGGCATGCTAGCAGAGATTATTTGAAAGAAATGAACCTAGCAAAAAATCGTTTCCTCCCCCTGTTAATGCCAAAGTACCACTGAAACCCTCCAGAAATCAAAAAATTGTTTGCTACAGGCATGCTAGCAGAGATTCTTTGAGAAGAATTCTTACGATTGACAGGCTAGCAGAAAGCTTTTCGAAACCGCTTTCCGCCCGGCTACATCAGCCCCAAAATCCACTATTTTTATAGGCTCGGCACCGGCATCCTGCTCGAATTCGGCGCCACCCTCCCACTCGACGCTCACGTGCTGTCCAAGGTTGCCGGGCCCTTTAAAATTGCAAGATTTCACAAAATTTTCAGTCGGCCCTCGGTATCCTCGTGCACCTCGTCTATGTGACGTTCTTCGGCGCCGCCTGCGCCATTGGGTATCTCGCGGAATCGCGTGAGTTTCTGGACACTTTCCTAAAGAATTCTGCTAGCTCCAGCCTTCAATTTTGCTGTTTTTAGAATCGATCGGCAAGTCCCACGGCGACGACGTCATCGTGTGGCCATTATGGTAAGCCGCTTGGAAATGCTACAGCGCTAGGCTACGCGGCGCTACGTTGCGCTACGCTGGGCTGCGCACGTAACTATGCAACGTTAGACCACTCTAGACTTGGCTAACCTAGGCGGCGTAACGGTACGCTGCGCTACACGACAGTATCTTACGCGACAATAGATTTACCTACATAATGCCGATTCACAGAATGCCGATTTACACAATGCCGATTTACAGAATGCCGATTTTGCATATTTTGGGTTTTGCATCAAAACTACAAACAGGATCCCCATAAAAAACATTATCCGACTTGGGCATGGCGAAACCGCCAGATCTGAAGCTTAGCTTTTTCTTTCTTTTTCATAGAAACCCTAGTTCAACGTTGCAAAGGGGGCTCCCTTGGGTTACTAAGCTAACTTTTTCTATCGAACAGTTTTGCCTTCCTCTCGACGGGAGGCCGGGCATTCTCAACCAAGAAATAATAATGAATCGTCGAGCTTTGTCGCTATGGATCAGCTCGTTAGGAGTGTCGGCGCCTAGCGAAAACGGTTGAAACATGTCGCGAGGCTTGCGAGTTTCCGGTAATCCCCAGATACCTACGTGGAAAGAAAGAAAAAAGAAAAGAAAAAAGCTAAGCCTCAGGTCTGGCGCTTTCGCTATGGCCAAGTCGGGTAATTTTTTTATGGGGATCCGGTTTGTGTTTTTGATGTAAAACCCAAAATATGCAAAATCGGCATTCTGTAAATCGGCATTCTGTAAATCGGCATTCTGTAAATCGGCATTTTGTAAATCGGCATTCTGTAAATCGGCATTTTGTAAAATCGGCATTCTGTAAATCGGCATTTTGTAAAATCGGCATTCTGTAAATCGGCATTCTGTAAATCGGCATTCTGTAAATCGGCATTCTGTGAATCGGCATTATCAGCCTAACCCGCGACAATACTCTATGCTATGCGACAGTATGCTAAGCTCCGTGACAGTACGCTAGGCTTGGCTACAGTACGCTAAGCTACGCGGCAATACTGTATGCCGGACGACATTACGTTCAACTCCATGCCGATACGCTACGCTACGCGACAATACTCTACGTTACGCCTCAATACTCCACGCTATGCGACAGTGCGCTAAGCTCCGTGCCAGTGCGCTACGCTACGCGACAGTGCACTTCGCTACGCGACAATATACTGTGTTACGCTACGCGACACTTCGCTATAAATTGAATTTTTAATGCGCCATGCTTGCCCACAAGCAACGGTACAATCCGGTACCACTCGCTAGACTACGTTACAGTACGCGAGCCCAGGCTACGCTAGACGACGCTACAATACGCTCCAAATTACACCCCAAAATGACATTCCAGGACAACGTTCACCGGGGACGGGATGCAGCGCAAGGTGTCGGTCCTCTACACCACCGCCATGATGCTGATGGGCATGTTTAGTACGGTAGGTCTGCACATACCGTCCCGCGTCGGAACGGCCCCCGAAAAAATGCAACTTTCCAGGTGGCCATGGTGTACTTCTTCCCGCTGCAGCGCGAGTCGAAGCCCACCTTTCTGCGCCTGGGAATCACGCTGATGGGGCTGATGCTGTCGATTGGGGCCTGTGGGCTGGGTTGGTGGCTTTAAAGGGACTGGGAAGCGCCGAGATCGAAGGTTTTGTTTGGGTTGTTGGGTTTGTTGCTCTATCCGGAGCAAATTCCAGTGAAAACGTGTTAGTGAGCTTTTTTATGTACTCGTTCTATTCCCTAGGCGGTTTCCGTGCGGTCCGCGTGCTCGAACGCGGCGCCGACCTCTTCACCGGGATGGGCTCGTGCATCCAGCTGTGCGCCATCGCATTCGTCCGCGCCACCGCGTCGAAGGCCATCAAAATGTGGGGGCTTTTAGTGACTGTCTTTTAAATCTCAAAACCTCCAAAAGTTGTTGAACTTCTCCAGGCGCAACGACGTGCTCGACGAGGCCGGCAACAGTTTGCGCATGTCGGCGGCGCTGCGTGAGAAGTGCTTGTCCGTCTCCATCTTTCTTGGGCTTCCGTTTTCGGCGGTGGGTTTGGGAGAGAGAGAGAGAGAGAGAGAGAGAGAGAGAGAGCGAGCGAGAGAGAAAGAGAGAGTGAGAGTGAGAAGAAAAGAGAAAGAGAGAGGGAGGGGAGAGAGAGCCAGAGAGAGAGAGAGAAAACGTGTGAGAGCTATGGAGTGAGCAAGCGAGCGAAAGAAGTTCCATCCACTTTTTTTCAGTTGATCCTTGCGGTGTCCCTCTACCGCGTGGTCATCCCGTTCGAGCAGGGCATGTGGCTGCCCCAGCTTCGCCGCCAGAGCTACCTGACCAGCGAGTGCATCACCATCGGCATCGCCTACATGTGGGGTTTCCTTTTCGGGGGCTCAGGCGGCTGGCCGCGACGCGACCGCTCGCATGTGGCTGTAGTTGCTAAAAAAACAAAAAAAATTCGAAATTTTTGAATTTTTCAGGTTGACATTTTGAATTGTTGAATTTTTAAGGATTGAAGGAAAGGAAAATAGTCAGAAACACAAAAATAAATTCCAATGTTCAGTGCCGTCTCCGCCCTGCTGATCCTGCGCCCAATCGTGCTGTACTTCATCGCCCACCACCACGACCCTGCCCACGTCGTCCCCTCAACTACGTCCGTCAGCAACCACAACTATTGAGCACGGCCGGATTTTCCGAGCGCGCGACACGCGACGCACGGCTGGCGAGCGTCGCGCGCGTTGCGTATCGCGGATGCGGCCTTTTCGACTTGTGATCGCCCATTTTTCGCTTATTTTTCCCGCGATATTTCTGTATTTCTGCGAGCGATAAAAACTTTGAGAAAAATGTCGAGACTTTATGAAAAGCACAACAAAACCCGTATGAGAAAGAGATGGAATGGAATACGCAAAAATTTGCTACACGAAAAATTAGATTTTCGCCATTTTAAAGGGGCCAGAAAGGCAAAAATCGACTCTTCTGTCGACTAGTTCTTGGCAATCATGCGATACGTAAAACGTACCGCAATTAATCACACTGAAAAACGGACAAGCCATTAAATGGCTAACAAGCCAAAAAGTAGACGGTTCTAGCTACTAGGTCTCGACAACTACGAGACACTTCAAACGCTTTCAGGGTGGGGCTTTAGCTGCACCCCCCCCCCCGGTAACGAAACCGGACCCGCTTCTCCATGTTGTCTCGTTTCTAGCAGGGTTGGTCATTTTGGTACCCGGATACTACCCTACCCGTACCCGGGTATGTACCCGTACCCGTACCCTGGAAATTAGCATACGGCGGGTAGGTACGGGTACTACCGGGGTACTACCCGTACCCGTACCCCGACATTTGCATAAGTTCTGCGGGTACGGGTAGATATCCGGGTACGGGTACGGGTATGTACCCTGGTACCCTAGGGTATTTCCGGTTTTAGATGCAAAGCGGAATATTGGATGCAAAATAACGAATTCTCTAATGACTACCATCTCTCATCGTGATTTGCATTTAGAACTGATAATCGGACCCTGGCTTGCATCCAAATTTCAGTTTTGCATCAAAAACAGGAAATACCCTGGGTACCAGGGTACATACCCGTACCCGTACCCGGATATCTACCCGTACCCGCAGAACTTATGCAAATGTCGGGGTACGGGTATGGGTAGTACCCCGGTAGTACCCGTACCTACCCGCCGTATGCTAATTTCCAGGGTACGGGTACGGGTACAACCCGGGGTACCGAAAACGGGTACGGGTATGGGGTACGGGTATTCAAATGACCAACCCTGGTTTCTAGAGGTACCCGCTAGAGCCGGATGTGTGATTTGGAGCGTCGCGTAGCTGTTGAGACCTAGTAGCTGGAAAGGGAAGAATTTCAGATTGTATCTTCCCCAAAATCAAAATCTATGTGAAGGCAAGCGGTGCAAAGAGGTTGAAATCGGTGGAGCGGCCGGTGAAGCGGTAGTCTCTCTGGAATTTTGAAGCATTAATCATCTTGGATGTTAATCTGTATTTCCTACCATAAGCGGAAAGACGGCGCTGCATTTGCCAATATCGTCGATTATCGAGGTCCTGAAATCAAGAAACTTTTTTTACACATTAAGGCGTTCAAGAAGGCGCTCGATTGGAGCGCCGCGTAACTGTCTAGACCTAGTCAACGACTAGCGTCGATTTTCCCGAATTACCTGTACAAAACGGCCAACATGTCGTCCTGTCTTGGTGTCGTCAAATACACGCGATCAGCGAAGAAGTATCGTAGCTTTGGGAGCAACTGCAAGTGAGAAATTCCTTATCTTTCCTCGAATTAACCGGTACCACAACGCCATTCCCCAGCCAGAGGAGGTAGATTAGGAATAGGTATAGACAACAGGCATTAACTATCGTTTTTCGGGTATCTGCCGCATCCATTTTGACGATACCATATCGATGGAGGGCTCCGAGGAAGAGCGCCGCGATTACAGCTAACTAAAAAGGTGGTTTTTACTTATTTGAGTACCATTAATTTTAGGAGAACAGGATACAATCTGCTGTATTTTTTAGCTTAATTCCTGCATAAAAACCTATAAAATCGCTCAAAACTTGCCTGGTTTATTGCATCAAGATTGGTCGTATTTACGGGCGTGTATAACATGACGTAATCTATTCCGGGATGCCTGTCTAGGTGGGTGAGAAGAGACTGAAAAGAATCTTAAGGGAGAGAGTTAGAGAGATAGAGAGAGAAAGAGAGAGAGAGAGAGAGAGAGAGAGAGAGAGCGAGAAAGAGATAGAACGATATGCATAACCAAGCGACGAGACGATAAGCTACTGTACCTGCATCAATTCCGCAAAATTATCAAGAACCCCGGCCGTTTCTTGCAACAGTAAAACATACCTAAATTTCGTTTAAAAAATTATTAAACAAATTACGGTGAATTTCGATCGCTTGCCAGCAGACACTGCTGGGAGGCTGACCAGTCTCGTTCGACGGAAAGTCCGGAAAGCGGCTGACCAGCTTTTGAAGGGTCTGGAAGGGACATTAAAGGGTATTTTCTGAAATTTCAGAGGTTAGTCGCCGAAAAACGAGATAAATTACTAAAGTGAAGGGAAGAGAAAGGGCGATCTAGCAGAGATTCTTTAGGATCGCCCGACTTCATAGTAAGTTCTGGACAGCAACGCAAAACTCCGAATGACAGTTGTAAATTGTGCTTTTGGCATCCGTAAAGGTGAGATGTTTGGGAAAGCAAACCGCTTTGTCAAGGGCAATTTGGAGTTCCGTGTATCTGTCGAGATCTAACGGAGTGAAGAGTCCATTTTCGAGCTTACTAGTCCCCTTTAAAAAGCCTTTGAATTTTTCTAAAACCCACCAGACACGTTAAAATGGTTGAAGCTTTCGAGAATCTCGGCATTTTGCGCCCCATCCGCCTCCAATAGGCAGATCTCAATGTAAGGACGTTTTTCAAAACGGAACTCGTCGAGCAGATAGCCGAGATTCTGAAGGAATTTAGAATAAAAGCCGTTTTAGGCCAATAAAGAAACGCAAATGCATACAATGATTTTTAAAGGCTTTCTGATCGCTTTTACAGTCTTTAAAAGTTTTTGACGAGCAGTACTAAAATTGCCAACTTTCCCCCGACCTGCATCAAGAAGTGCTGTCGGCTGTTGGTGGCCATTATCGTAATCGAAAAGTCGAACTGAAATGGGAAAATAGAACTTTCTAACCCGCTACTTGTCGCATTTTTGGCTTTGAAGGGGCTAGGAAATGTTGAAATCTACCCCTCACTGACTGGGTCTAGACAGCTACGCTTTGCTCCGGACGGCAGCTCAATCGCCTCTTGGCAACCTCTAGAATGCGACTGCCAGCCAAAATCCAGCTCTCTTTCCACGTGTAATTTGGAACATTGTGTAGCTGTCTAGATCCAGTCGAAGGAAGGGGTCGTTTTGGCGTTTATTGTTTCGTTTACCAGCTACGCGACGCACCAAAACACAATAAAATGTTTCAGCACGGCTTTTTCGGATCAGCACTAGAGCTACTAAAAAATTACATTCAGCACCTGTCATTTGGAGCCTTGCGTCGCTCTCTAGACCTAGTCAATGGGAAGGGTTGATTCCGACATTTTCTAATACCTTTAATTAAGTCTCGATTTTTGCCATTACCGTACCAGTCTTGCCCGATTCCTGTGATATTGCTGAAAATAGTCGCGGGCCCTCCGCAGGTGAAATCGGTTCAGCTCGGCCGGGTTGTCGCTCAGATCCGGGCGTGAGAATTTGAGCGGATTGTCTAAGGAGTAAAAGTAGTAAGTCTAAAACTTTACACATTTCCATTAAAAATTGCAAAAAAAAATAGATTGTTCGGTCAAAACGGCATTATTACCGCCGTTTTGATGCGCCGATTGATGTATTTTACGTTAACCTCGCTTTTTGGCTTTATATAAAATTCAGCATAAACCCACGGACTTCCGGCAAACACCAGCATAAAAACTTGACAGCCAAGAACATCATCCCAACAGCGGAAAGAAGCCGGAAATTCCGTCGTTTCTTCCCGGGCATCGCATCGGATTTTTGGGGGGAATTAGCGAATCAACAATACCGCGCGGAATATTGTATAGAAATTTTCGTGCTAATGGTTGTCGTTTGTAGCGGCTCGGAATAAAGGGGGAGTGGGTGAGTCACCCTTGTGCTGAAGATTCAAGCCGGCACGCCAGCCGGACTGATAAGCCGGCAGGAGATGGAAGAGAGGTTAGAATTCGGTTCTTTCGCATTATCGGGGGACCAACTTGTTCTAATATAAACAGAGGAAGTGTTTCTAAACTTTTTTTACTATTGTTAGTCCACAAAACCTTACAAACTTTAAAAAAAACTCGAAAATTATTTTTTTTAGCAAAAATGGACGTTTTTCAGACCAAAATTGCGATTTTAACACTTTTCCAAGTTTTTTTTTGCTTTGCACTTAAACCATGGTTAAATTTTGCTTAAAACATGATTAAAACACTTACAAGGAGTCGTTTTTAGGTGATATTGGAGTTTTTGAGCGAGACCTAGCCAGTTCGATAGAGAAAAAAAATTCTGAACAAGATGTCGTTTTCCAAATCTGCTAACCGTGTACGCTGTTCAATAAAAATTAATTTTAATGAAAAAATTCCTGGACGCCAGGCTGCGACACATGGATCAGGCCCGGGACATAGGCCGCAATGCGAACCAGCATCCGCATGAGATCGTGGCCTAGTGGATAGTGCGAGCGCCTATCAAACTTTTGCAAAATTATGCCCAGGGTTCGGAACTTTTTGTGATTGATTGTTTTGCTTTTTGGTTTTTCATGCCATTGAAATTAAATTTGGCATTATCGAACAAAAAGCAAGAGAGTTTTACTAGCGAGGAGTCGAACCCGCTGGCAAAAAAAAGACAAAAATTTATGAAGCAAGCGCACTACCAATAGGCCAGCTGGTCATGGCTGGACGGAGGCTTAAAGGGGGCTATGTTGACGTGCACCCAGAGGACAGAATCTGCGGATCAGGCGGAAAATGATGGTTAGATCAATGATTTTCAAATTAATTTTTATCGAATATCATACACGGTTAGCAGATTTGGAAAACGACATGTTCAGAATTTTTTTCTCTATCGAACTAGCTAGGTCCGCTCAAAAACTCCAATATCACCCAAAAACGACTCCTTGTTAGTATTACGTTAAGAAGCATTTCTGCGAAAATTTTGTTTTAAATTTTTCTATTTTTTACTTGAAAGCTCCTTTAAGCCGGAATTTCTCGTATTCATTTTACATAACTCATCGCAACGTGTACAAATTACCATAAGCATCGTTTATCATTGCACAAAAAAACCCGGATCGAGAGAGAAATCACACAATTGTAAGCCAGCTACAACTAACAAAAGAAATTGAAATTCTACCCGTACAGAATGGTGGTAAATAGGGGAGAGAGAGAGAGAGAGAGAGAGAGAGAGAGAGCGAGAGAGAGATAGAGAGGGAGACAGAGCGTGAGAGAGAAAGTGAGGGATAAACAGACAGAGAGATAGACAGAGTGAGAACGGAAAAACACACGCGAAATTAAATGGAACACAGCAAAAATCATCGAAAAAGGGGGCGAAAAGCGAATGTCTGACTTAAAATACCCATTTAATAGGTACAAAAAAGATACATTACGACATATTAACAAAACCAACACAGCAAATACACTGGCTATTTACCATTTATTTTTTCGATTATTTTTGGACTCCCTCGCCAATCGTGGCCCACGGGCTGACAGGGCCCAGGTGGTACACGGGCGCTTCCGGCTGGAGCATCAGGCCCCGGGAGGCGTCCCTGCCGACGGCGTCGATGTCCGTCCCGTAGTTCTGCGCGATCAGCAGCGTCGCCGTATACTGAAATCGGATTCGAGTGTTGTCGCCTCGATTTTGGACTTTTATAAGGTTTTTGACCTTAATAAATTGAGATTAAATTTTAAAAGAAAAGCATCATAATTTCCGTGTAGAAAACTAAAAACTAAAATTTTTGGCGTTAGAATCCGCCGTTTTCCGGGCTTTCGAATGGTATAAAAATCCTTGTAATACGACTTTTTTCGTCGAGATCGGAGCGTTTTTGTTGCTGATACCTACCTCGAGCTCCTGGCACAACAGCATGACGTCGCGACCCTCCATCAGCTTGACCACCTCGGCCTCAAAATCGCCGAACGCCCACGTGAAGATGCGGAAGCCGTCGGCGGTAAAGTATTGCTGAAATCCGGAGTTCTTTTTAATCTTGTTTTTAGCAAAATTTAACTACATTTTAGAGGAAAACGATTAAAAAACGAAAGTCGAAAATTTTAGTCAAAAATTCATATTTTTTGCATGTTTGAATCAAAATTTGTAAAGTTTTTACGCCTAGGAATACTAAAAAACCGCTTGAAAATATTCTCACTTTTATATTACATAAATTGGGGCCTTAGAAAACGTATGAAAACCCACCTGGTGCAGCATCCGCATATAGCGAATCGGCTCGCCAATGTCTAGGGTGACGGCCAGCAGGCGTCTCTGGGTGCCGACCGGCGGGCTCTGAACACACAGTTTTCAACGGTCAAAAATAAATAATAAATAATTATTATAAGCTTTGTAAATAGGTTAGAAACTGGCAACCGAAAACGTCTTACGAAACTTGACACTACAGTTTTTCTCAAAATTTTCTTTTTCTTTTTCTTACTGCTAAAACTACCATAAAACTGTGTAACTCAAAAATTCCGACCCTCCGAATAAGCGATTACGACAGGAAAATCTAGGATAAAAACGGGGACAGGAAAATCATTCCAAAAATCTAATAAAAGAAGAAATTCAGGTGCATTGCGTCCATTACGAAGTTTAAATTAGCAAAAATTTAGGATCTTCTACGTCTTCCTCGTAGCGAAACGTCATTTTCGCACGGTTTTTCGACGAAAAAGGAGCGCGATAGGACAAATACGTACTTACGTAGTTAGGTACGCTACGCAGTTGAGATCCAAGAAAATCTACTATTTTTTACGTTTTCCTAGCGTATAACGGTCTCGTTTCGTGACCTTGACAAAGCATGCTCTTCCAGCGAAAAAAAGAGCGCTATAAGATGCAATTAAAAAGGCTAGAGATCGAGAAAACTAGAGGATGAGAAAGGAAAATCTAGAATTTGACCGGTTTTAGCGTAATTATCTACATTTCCGCTCATCATTAGCAAGAGCCCATCCGGCTGCACCCACCTTGCAAAGCGCGCTCTCCAGCAGGCGATGGGCGACGGCGGATGCGCGCTGCATGCTGCACACCGGCACCGCCAGGTGAAGCCGAATTGCCGAGTGATCGCTCAGCTAAACGAAGCGGTTTTTTAGGCAAAAAGCCAAATTCATACCGATTCGAAAAGGCCCGTCAAGCAATGATCCGCGGCCGGCCCGCGACGGTCCATCATCAGCTCGATCAAGACCTGAAAAAAACGGTATCAAAGATGTTATCGAAGCCAGCTTTTTCCTTACTAGGGAATGTTTTCGGGCGGACATCGGACCTAGATATGTGAGTATGTGCATCTTGTAGATCTCGACGAGACGAATCGATTGATGTAACTTTTAGCTGCCAACGCCTTTAAATAAAAAAGTTACAACGATTTAAATTTATCTGGCATGGCTTCATAAGCCCTCCCCTGCCACCCCGTCGCCGTGGTCCAGTGGCCTAGTGGTGTAGTAGTCAGCGTCTGGGGAATCTAACGAGGGTTCGAACCCGCTCACGATTTTTATTTTTTGCTTTTTTGTCCGAAGCTTCCTCATTGCATTCTGAAGGCCGTGAATAACTTTTTGTACCTTATTTATACACCAAGAAACGTTCCTAGCGATAATACCGAATTTTTTTGCGAAAATTTGGAAATTGGTAAAAACGTAACCATAGTAAGGCTAGTTCAGGAGAAAATAAAATATTTGTCATGGAACTTGGGGTACGCTACAACGTTGTAAGCAACGTGACCACAATTTTGTCCACTCCTCCAAAATATTTTCGATGCATGAGCCAGGCACCAGCCAACAGGATCCAAAAATTAATTTTTCGCCCTAAGCTGTATTATCGCTAGGAACGTTTCTTGGTGTATCAATAATGTACAAAAAGTTATTCACGGCCTTCAGAATGCAATGAGGAAGCTTCGGACAAAAAAGCAAAAAATAAAAATCGTGAGCGGGTTCGAACCCTCGTTAGATTCCCCAGACGCTGACTACTACACCACTAGGCCACTGGACCACGGCGACGGGGTGGCAGGGAGGGCTTATGAAGCCATGCCAGATAAATTTAAATCGTTGTAACTTTTTTATTTAAAGGCGTTGGCAGCTAAAAGTTACATCAATCGATTCGTCTCGTCGAGATCTACAAGATGCACATACTCACATATCTAGGTCCGATGTCCGCCCGAAAACATTCCCTAGTTAGGATCCAATTTTCAAAATAAAACATCTGGCAGTGTTTCTAAGCTTTTTTACTTTTCTAAACCTAGAAACTTTACAAAATTGTTCAAAAAAATTCACAAATATCGTTTTTGGACCGAAATTTCTACTTTTTGAAATTTTTTGATGGTTTTAGATAGTTTTCTAGTTGAAAAATGGTTATATTTTGCTAAAAACAATAATAAAATACTTGCTACTAGGCATTTCTAAACTTTTTCGACGATAAATTTCGGATCATTTGCTCAATTTCGCGAAACTACATTGCGCGTTGGCAAAAAAACTGTGGAAGCGATAATTTTTGACAAAAGTTTAATCGGTATGACAGCGGATATAATAAAGAGAACGCGCTGCTTTATTTTAGACTTTACAAGTCGAAAACACTGACCAACTCCGGCTTCAGCGGCACCCAGTTGGTGATCTTGGCCGCGCGGGCGGCCAGCTCGGCGCTCTTCCCGCGGATGTGCGCCTGCATCGGGCAGCGCAGCAGCAGCAGGCCGCTCAGGTCGAGCTTCGTCGGCTGTAAATCAGAGTTTATTTGATTTAAGAGAACTATAACTAAGAAAAAGTCGATGTTTTAGACCTTATTCTTGCTTTCTAGCCTGAGAAATATTTAGAAACTTGTATACATGAGCAAAAAAGCAATTTCCAGACTTATTAGTGCTTTCTAGCATTTCAAAACCTCTAAAAAATCTTCAATATCATGTCTTCGAAAGATTAAACGTTTTCTTACAATATAAACCTTTCATAAAAGTCAACACCTAGAATTTAATAGTTGAAAAACGCGAATTGCAGAATTTTAGACCTTTCAAAGTCAATTCTCGAAAAATGCGGATTTCTTACGGCTACAAGCTCAAAAAAGAGCAAAAAAACTTACAGTGTCCTGGTTGAGGGCGGCCGCCCTGGGCGACGTCTTCCGGAAAAGTTGGTTCAAGATGCGCAGCGCGTGCCGCGCGTCCGAGCAGGTCACGAAGCACTTGGCGCTGCGGGGCTCGCGGCTGTAGGTGCCGTTGAACCTAAAATTTGTAGCTTTTCATGTTTTTAAAAGTTAAAATTGTAGTAGAAACTTTTTAACGTTTCAAAACCAATGAAATCACCTTTCGCGGCGCATCTCACCTTATGACCGGTTTTTCGGTTCTTTCGCATTATCAGGGGGCTAACTTTTTTTTATAAGTGTAGAAATGTCTAGTCACTTTATAGGGAGTATTTTTGTAATGTTTTTGATCAAATCTAACTATATTTCAAGTCGAAAAACCATCAAAAAAAGCTTTAAGAACTTTCAAAATTTGAAATTTTGGTCAAAATCGGCCATTTTTGGGCGAAAAACCCGATATTTTTGATATTTCTAATCCAAAATTCGTAAAGTTTTCACGTTTAGAGATAGTAAAAAGCGCTTAGAAACACTTACACAATTTATATATGAAAAATTAGATCATAAGAAAAAGTTGCTCCCCGATAAGGCGAAAGAGCCGAAAAAGCCGGTCAAATGGTGGGCTTCGGAGCAAAAGTTAGGACCGCTATGCTAGATACGCCATTGCCAACAAAGCACCTACTTCAAAAAGTTGAAATCGACCAGCTCGAACTCGAGGTAGCCGGCGTTGCGTTCGACGGGCGGCCGCCAGACGATGCAGAACGTCTCGTCGGAGACGCTGATGTACAACTAAAACGAATTAAAGGTATACTTCTCCCGGGTAAGCCGATTTTGAGATTAAAAGTCTTAATATCCTTAAAAATACCCACCATTTGCTTGATGACGACGCTGGCTAGTTGCGGACGGCCGGCCAGCCACAGCGAGCCGTCGTTGACCCGGTTGAACGCCTGGAATGAAGTTAAAAATGATAAATAATAAATTCGTAGTGGTAAAACAGTAGAAATAATAAGGTAAGTAAGATAGTTAGGAAAAAAATGGCGAAAAATTAGGAAGTTAGGAATTAGTTAGGAAAAACAAGGCGCGAAAAGTAAACGTAAGTTTCGGGCTATTAAACTTGCTGAATTTAAGTATATTTCAAGCGGGAAAGTTATTGCAAAAATACTACAAGCTTTTCAATAACGAAAGCGACGTTTATTGTATCTAATCAATAAACATTTATAAAATTTTAGGTTTAGGAAGAGCAAATAAAAACAGTTTAGAAAGACGTGTACCAAAATTTTTGCGTATACGTTTAGAAATGCCTAGTAACTTAATAGGCGTAGATTCATGTCATTTTTAGCAGATAAAACTCTATTTCGACTAGCAACTAGCTAAAAACCATAAATCTGTCAAAAATTCGAAATTTCGGTCAAAACCGCGATTTCAGGTCGAAAAATCAATATTTCTTTATACTTTTTAATCAAATTTGTAAAGTTTTTACGTTTCGGCGTGTAAAAACTGTTTAGAAACACTACCGCTATCGATATTTGAAAATTGGTTCCAGAAGAAAAATTTGTCCCCCGATAACCCGAAAGAACCCAAATTTCCTTGACTAACAACTAACGAGCCGGAAAACTAAAGAGCCAAACGAGGCTCTTCAAGGGTATTATTTAGGTTAATGGCTTAAACTTTACAGCCTTGAAAAACAAGACTTACCCGGCTGGCGGTACGCATCCGGATGCGCTGGGTGAAGGGCAGGCGCTGGTAGACGGCTTCGCGGCAGGCGAGCGGCAGATCGGCGAACGGAAGAGCCATCCCGGGCGGGTTGTCGTTGGAGAATGATGGTTTCTGGGGAGTTTCCGAAGGCTTGTCGACACTGATAGCACATCTGCCGTGTCCGCGGGGCCTTTCCGTCTCCGCCAGTGACCACAATGACGGAAAGACAGATGGTATGGGGTGAGAATCGTGATGAAAAGGCGATAAGCAGACACTAATGGCCACGATTCGGCCCTTTTACACGCTATCATTAGCACGCGCACCATTGACGGGCAGGAATTGGCGTGATTTTTCGAAATAAAAATATAAATTACTTTGAAACTAAACAAAAACCTCTCGCAAAAAAAAATAGAAAGCTTTTTAGATTTTGGCGACCTTCGCCCAAAAACCTCACAATGTCGACATCACACTTCCAAAAAAATAGCTGTGCTCTCGTTCTCGCTCTCGCGCTCTCTCTCTCGCCCTCTCGCGGCCTCTTTACCGCCCTCGCTCTCTCACAGTGTCTGTATCTCCCTCCATATCGCTCTGTGTGTCTCTCCATCTCGCTCTCTCTCACCCTATCTCTCTCTATCCGTCGCTCTCGCTCTCCCTCGCTCTCTCTCTCTCTCTCTCTCTCTCTCTCCTCTCCCCCCGCCTCTACCCGCCTCTTTTGTCTTGCTCTCTCTGCCTGCCCCCACCCCGACTCGCCGTCCCAACCACCATTCATAATCACAATGTCGACAGCACATTTTGCAAAAACATTTATTCATGGTTAGACAGCGCCATACGAGAAAAGATACAAAAACGGCCGGTCACGGTATACCCGGGCGTGTTACTATACATAAAAGGAAGGCCGGCGACGGGCGTATCATCGACCAGGTCCTTCTGAAAAAAACGTATTGAAGATAAGGTGCTTTCACATTATCGGGGGGGAAGGATAGCCAAATGATGTGTTTTGACATTGTTTGTAGCTATTCCTAGGTATAAAAACTTGAAGTTTTTATACCTAGGAATAGCTACAAAGTTTACAAAGTTTTTTTACAAGTTTTTAACGAAATTGATTTGATTTCGGTGTTTCGACTAGAAATCACCGAAATTTCGACTTATGCTAACGTTAACATTTTCTGAGCTTTCGTCCTTCAAGTATAGTTTTTTTCTCGTTAAAAAAAGCTAAACCCTTTTAATAGTAAAAAAAATGTGGTCCTACTGGGAACCCCCGATAACGCGAAAGCGCCAAAGAAAATCTGTGCGAATTCCAGCCCACCATCCATTGGCCGAAAAAAATGATGGGTCGACGAGTGGTGCGCGATTTATTTCCCCTTGGCGGCCGCAACCTTCCCGTTGGCGGCCGCAACCTTCTCGGCGGCGTCGAGGAACCGTTCGATGGCGTCATTGTGCTCCGGCAGGTGCACCTGAAAAACAAGGGAGGGTCCCCGAGAGGTAGCGCTGCCGCGTACCTTGATGTACTCAAAAACGGCCATGTGGACGGCCAGCCACTGCTTGGCGTCGGTGATGGCATACGGGCGCGCCGTGCGCAGCTCGTGCCACAACTCGGTCACCTGAATCAGGGCATGATCAACTGCTCGGACCGGCGAGAGTTCGCGCTCTCCTACCGAGACTTCAGTGCCAGCGGTCAGACGGTCGATGATGACGAACACCATGATGAAGACGGCCGACCAGGCGGCACCCGACGAACACACCACCACGTAGACCGGCACCTCAAATCATTCGTTTGTTTCCCTTTTGGCCAGGGTTGGTCACGCTGTCTAACTGTTTCTTACTTTCCCTAAACGTGAAAACTTTATAAAGATTTATTAAAAAACATCAAAATTATCCATTTTGCGTCCAAAAGGGCCGTTATTGGTCAAAAGTCTAAATATACAGGGTGTCCCAATAAAAAAGGTCACGCTGACATTTTGCTATTTCAAATCCGACCGAGCTGAAATTTTGCACAGAGGTGCGGAAGGGAATTTAAAATGTTCACAGAAACTTTCAGCCCGATCGGTACAGTAGTTTTCGAGTTATGGCGAAAATACTGTTTTTCCCACACTTTAGCTTCATTTTTTCGGCTATCTTTTTGGACTTTGCATCAATTAACATAAATTTCCGGCTCTAAATCCCTTACTCTTCTTAACATCGGCGTCGTTAGCCCTTGTTAAAAAATACTTAAATAGCCTATTTCGAGCCGAATTTTGCGAAATAAAAAATTCCTAGGATAAAAAGGGTCGGCGCTTCATTTTCTCCATACATTCCAGGGCTCAATTCCGGCGGAATCCAGGTGAAAAACATAAAAAGAAAGTTTATTTTTGCTATAACTCGAAAACTACTGAACCGATCGGGCTGAACGTTTCTGTGAACATTTTGAATACCCTTCCGCACCTCTGTGCAAAATTTCAAGTCGATCGGATTTGAAATGGCAAAATGCCAGCGTGACCTTTTTTATTGGGACACCCTGTAGTTAGATATTTCTAGTACCACTATTGAACACTGTCTGTTGTTAACCTACTAGGCATTTCTAGACCCATACAAAAAAGTTCGCCGTGGTCAAAAACCTCTAACAAAAGTTGTTTACTTGCGCCAAAAATTGTTAGAAAATATTTTACAAGAATTTAAAAGTTGAGAAGGGTTACGGCGCAATGGTACAGTGTACCCGGGGTTTCTAACTCAAATATTTCTATTTTTAGATGTTTTTTCGACTCAAACGTACTGTAGGCTGGTTCTATAGAGCAAGAGCTACATTTTGGTACGATTGATCGGCTCTGTACGAATAAAGATAGCCGCGGTACGAAAAGTGACTTTGGACCTGCCAAAACTAACTAAAGAAAACCCATACTCATAATTGCTATAAAAAATTTTCTAGCGATTTTTGGTGTAAGAAAACAATTTTTTTATAGTAATTGGACCACGGCGAAATTTTGAGATGCTCGCCGCATTAATAGGACTTATGGGGGGCGGTAAACTGAACTCTAACCCAAAAGTTTTCCTCATTTCCGATTAGGAAGACAGAAAACCTACAACAGGGTCCTCAAAATTGACGAGGCGCGCAATCGCCCGGACTTTGCTGCGGAAATCTTTACCGCTGGCCGGGTAGTAGATGGCAGGCCTAAAAATACCGGGCTAATACGATTTTGTCGGGCCGGACTGGGCCGGGGCCGGCCCGATCTTCGTGAACGAATTATAAATCTATTTAACTGCGATTATATAGTGGTAGTCACATTCACATATTTTAAGGATGCCATTCGATAGCGCATCCGAAAATATACTAAGGGTTTTAATTCTATTTCAAAATACTGTAATATAAAATAGTTATGACAAAAACAAGTATTAAACGTTGTTTCCATGGAGGACATAGCAGGATAGCAAGTTTTCGACATTTTAGATATTTTTGCAAAATTTCTTTGGTGCCATTCGATAGAGCGTCGAAAAATATACGAAGACGTTTGTTTGTAGCAAAAAGAAACGCAAAAATGATGGCCTCTGATGCATGGCTTTAGTTCAGGTCAAAATCTCGGGCCCGGCCTTGGGCCGGGTCCAGATTTTGGCGGTAGGGACGGGCCGGACCAGAGCGCAAAATTTTGGGTGCAGGGCCGGCTCGGTGCGGCCCTTTCTCTGGACCGAGCCAAGGGCTCACTTCTGGAGTTCGCAGGCCGGTGCGCCAATATTCCGCTCGACTTGACAATAGTACGTGGCGACATCGCGCTCATGGATCACCTGAAACCGTATTTTGATAATTAATACAGTTAGAATATTTAGAGGTCCTTGTGTATTAGGGTTGTTTCTCGGAACAGACCGAGATTCGGAACATTCGGAACAGCAACCGTTCCGACTGTTCCGAATGTCGGAACGTTCCGAGATTCGGGTGTTCCGGCTGTTCCGAGATTCGGAACGTTCCGAGATTCAAATGTTGCGGTTGTTCCGAGATTCATATTGTTCCGACTGTTCCGAGATTCGGAACGTTCCGAGATTGAGCTGTTCCGAGATTCAAATTTTTTCGCATGTAAATTTCCAAACACGACTGAATTTCGATTCGATTCAATCCCCAATTCGTTCTGATTTCCTTAATTTCCAGATTCGATATCTAACCATCGACGGAATTAAGTGTTCAGTTGCACCCACACTGCCTTGGGACGGCCAAATCGAAACATTTACATGCAATCTACACGATTTACATGAAATCGAAATTTACATGCGAAAAAATTTGAATCTCGGAACAGCTCAATCTCGGACTGTTCCGAATCTCGGAACAGCCGGAACAGCCAAATCTCGGAACGTTCCGAATCTCGGAACAGTCGGAACAATATGAATCTCGGAACAACCGCAACATTTGAATCTCGGAATGTTCCGAATCTCGGAACAGCCGGAACACGCGAATCTCGGAACGTTCCGACCAGTCTTTGTTCCGAAAGTTCCGAATCTCGGTCTGTTCCGAGAAACAACCCTATTGTGTATACCGCGAGAAAAGCATGTCTGTTCGGCTCCCCCCGCGTGGCCGACATATACTCAGTACCGAACCAAAAACGCTGTGGCCTGGGACTTACAGTAGTCAAGTAGGGGCTCCACTTGCCGAAGGCGCAGTACCACTTCTCGCGCCACACGGCACCCTCTCCGAACTCGCACGGCCAGAAATTCGCGCCATTTGGCACGGGGTCGATGTTGTTCAAGCAGTAGATCTTCGCGTCGCAGTTCTGGGCGACGAAGTCCTGAAAAACGCGTTGATATTATGCATATAGGGCACGCACCGGTCTAGTCATCGAAAACATCATGCGCCAAAAATCATCGCGCGTGTTGGGCATCGGCGCCTGCGTGGGGATCCAGTGGGCCTCGCATCCTGAAATCGGGGATGATGTGGCAACGTTGTGATGCCACGTACCTTTCAGTTTGAACATGGATGCGTTGATGTAGTCGGATCCTTTTTCGTCTGCTTCATCATAGTTCGCCAACTTGAAGCGATTGTGATCCGCGCAAGGGAATAACTGTAAAGATTTTGGGCTAAAGTCTAGTTTACCCCCCCCCCCCCGCCGTAACTTTTCAGCCATGCGTCCTATTAAAGGGATACCCAACGTTTTGGCGGCAAATATATAGTTGTGTATTCCGGGGAGTACAAATGACGCGCCAATTTTGTGCGGTAATGGATGCCCAGTGCCGCACAGAATTCGGCCTCCTCTCCCCCTTGTGGCGTCCCCATCTCGACCAATGGCTTGCCACTATGGCCTAATGGGTAGCGTCCAGGTCTTGAAAGCGGGGGTCCCGGGTTCGACCCCCGCCCGCGTCATGGTTTTTGCTTTTTGAGCCCCGAAAAGGTTGGGTATCCCTTTAATGCGCCGAGTCTGTCCAAATGTTCGCCGCGGTCAAATTACTATAGCCAAGGTGTTTCCTTACATCAAAAATTGTTAGAAAGTGGGTTTTCTTTAGTTAATTTTTGCTGGTCCAAGGTGAGTTTTTGTATCTCGGCTATTCTTAGTCCTACAGAGCTGTCAATAGTACCAAAATGTAGCTCTTACTCTCGAGAATCAGCCTACAGTGCATTTGAGTCAAAAAAATCGCCGAAAATAAAAATATTTGAGTTTTAGGCTCCTGATATATCGAAGCATAGCGGCTTAATCTTTTCAACTTTCAAAATCTTGTAAAAAATTTTCTAACAATTTAATAATTCAGTGAACATTTCCAATATCCCTATCCACCACGATGCAAATTTTCAATTCGATCAGAGCCGAAATGGCCAAATGCCTTTTGTGATTGGGATACCCTGTAGAGTAGGAAGGATCCCCTCACTAACCGCAAAGCGGTTCTTCTCCATATGGTTGTTAAATGCCTCCGTTGACGGTCGGGGTTCGGGCGTCCAGTTGGACGCCCGAGTCCATTGGTCCCATAATTCCTCCGGTCCGGTCTGGAAAATCCCGCGTAGAAAAGATTCATCGCACCCAAAAAAAAGGTAAGGTTATTATAAAAAACTTTGAGTGTGGCCTCGTTCTTTTATGAGGAGCGACGCTGCCCACCTGACACACGTCCTCAACAAACTTGGCCACGACAGTCTTCAACTCCTCGGGCGCCTCTTCCCGCTCCGGCTCGATGATCTAAGCGGCATAATAACACAGTAGGGCGCAGTGGCATACCGTCTTCCAGTCCAGATCTGGGACAGGGATCGCATTCCATTCCTTCAGGAATCGCCGCCGCAGGTAAAAACGGCCGCCGATCACTGCAAGACTGTAGACTGAAACCCGGCCAGAACACATACAGCAACCGTACAGGATGACGTTGTAAACGAGCAAGCACGGCCAGCTCAAGAGAACGGCCAGGCCGGGCGAGGTTTCTTGCTTCTCGGCAGCTGACGCGCCAGTCGGCGTTTTGGGGAAATCGAGCCAGCGGCAGAAAAGCTGCAAAAGCATTCTCATCTTTTTACCGGGTTGCTTCTTTTTGGTAAAAGATTGATAAATCTTTTTAGTTTTTAAAAGTTTTTGATTGCTAGAAGGTTATAAAAGCACATATTTAAAATCTTGACAATGGAAAATCATGTCCTTTTTTTGGTCATTTTTCATGGCTTTTCAGCAAAAAGTCAAAAATGTTCGAAAATTTTTATGCTGGGTTAACACTGTTTGTATATCTAAAAACTATGTAAAAGGCTATCGAAAAAGCTATTTATTTTGTAATTTGGCCGTAGAGAACCAGAGAGAAAAATGTGGGTCCCTCCCCTCCCCTCCCCCCGCGAACAGTCCAGAACAAATTTTTTAAAACATTTTCACGTTTAGGAATAATAAAAACGTTAGAATGACCTCTGTTATTTGTATAACAAAAATTGGCCGCTTAGAAAAGTCCCCCCCCCCGTTAATGCAAAAGAACCGGCAAATTTGATCCTAATGCAAAAGACGAGCCCCCCCGCCCCGGAAACACTAAAGAAGCTTGCACGATCCAAACGCACACTCTCACTGTCCACCAGCTTGGCGCATCTGCTCGGCTCCATTTTCAGCGCGGCCATTTGCGCCTGGTTGCCCGCCTTGACGGCCTTCTGGTAGTAGGGATTGGTGGCGCAGTTCAGGAAATAGTCGGCCTGCACCTCCTCGATATGCTTGTCCTAAAGCAAATATGCGATGCAGAAGATTCTTCCGGGAATTAGTCCTTCCTGAAAGGAAGCAAATGGCATTTTCCTTCGAAAGGCCTTTCCTGAAGCTAGCCGGGATCCGAAGCCTAAATTTAGGCATGCGTACGGCGCAGAAACATATAATGCGTCAAGTGCCGTCATTTAATTTAGGAAAATTAGACGGAAATCTTATGAAAAGCGACTTTTACGAAAGCTTACTTGGTTAGAGTGCAGTTTACCCCCCCAGCCGGCACCCAACTTTTGTATCTCGGCTCCCTGTTCATCTACAGGTGTGTAAAGTATACCAAAATGTTCGTCTTGCTTTTGCGAGTATTTTGGTATGCTGTACACACCTAGTAAACTGCACTTAAGCCGCTGACTTTTAGAAAAAGACAAGAAGCGCACCGTCAAGCCAACAATGCGGCTGACGTCGATGCAGCGAGGGAAGATGCGATGCGGCTCTTCATGCGGCGTCCATTGGCGGAACAGGTTCACGTATGGAGATGGCAGCGAGGCGTACGGGCCCAACTAAATAGTGCCATAGGAGCTCGCAGAAATATTAGCCCACCCCTTTCCGATCACCAGGTATTATCATCGGTTCCTTTTGGGAGCCGGATGGTGGGATCAGGAGGTCGAGGAGGACACACCCCCTCGCCCTTCTTGGCTCCCCGAGCGTCGTAGAGGCACGGGGTGTCAGGAGCAGCGTTTTTGACGCTATCTGGCAGCCCGGCGGCCAAGCTGAAAACACAATTGGCGCTCACAAGGAGATGTTTTGGATCGTCGACACAGTTTCGAACGGTGAACTAGCCTATTTTGTGCAGAATTTTTCACTGATTAAAACCTAGGCTGGTACCCAGATCAAAATTACACGCCTGAAATTTTACCACACGTGTAAATTTTTTACACACGCGTGTAAAAAAATTACACGCGTGTATTTTTTTTTTACACGCGTGTAAATTCCGAAATTTTCCTTAACAAATGAAAAAACACGCGTGTAAAATTCTACAATTTTTTTACACACGTGTAAATTTTCGGCCATGTTTCCTTGAAAACCCTTATAAAACTCAATTACACGCGTGTAAATCCCAAAAGTGACGTGTAAATTTGACGTGTAATTTTTTTACCACGCGTGTAATTTTTTGGCTGTTTTTACACGTGTAATTTTGATCCGGGTACCAGCCCTAGTTTCAGAATCTGCGAAACGACCGCAATAAGGTTATGTTGAAGTTACGAAGCTTTGCAGGGCAAAAAAAAACCGCCGAAATTGGCCATTTTTTACGCTTTAAAGCTTCGAGTCTTTTCATATAAAAACGTTTCGCAGATTCTGAAACGTACGTTTTGATTTTATGCCTGGATACGCTTTCTACCGGTTGCAGACGCGCCAGCACCAACAGCAAACTTACGGGAAGCCCTTCAGCGGACGCGGCACACAGTCGAGCGGGTCAGGCAGCGGCATCCCAGCAGCGCAAAACTAAAAAAAAGTCTTTTTCGTGAGTCACGTGTGCCGAAAACCTTGATGTTGTTGAAATCCTTGAAGTCATCTGGAAATATTGGTGGATCTTCCGGGCCGAGTCCAGCGGCTTGATGCAGACTGGGCACGCATCCGATGTCGGCAGCGATCCTGAAACTTATACTCCAAAAATGGGTAAACCGCAAGCAACCGCCCATCAGTCGACCCCGAATTTTTGCATATCGGTTTCCCGTTGCCCTAAAATATTCGCCAGAGCAAGGCGAACATTTTCGTATACTTGACATTGCTGTTCACAACGGGGAGCGGAGACACATCAAAAAAAACCCATGAAAACGTGGTTAAAACTTTAGTTTCCGTGATTTTCGCCCTTTTTTTGGATGTTTTGAAGTCACCATTTGATAGAGCGTCAAAAAAATAGACTAATCTGTTTTAATTGTTGCCTAAAACAATGTAGTATAAGATGGTTACAGCAAAACCCAGATTTATGCTTCGTTTCCACCTAGGAACCTGGAATCAAACGCCTGTTTTCGACATTTTCGTCATTTTCACAGAATTTTTTCAACGCCCGTCGAGAGAGCGTCTAAAAATATTCCAGGGCTTTTTAATTTTAGTCCGAAATAATGTAAAAGAAAAAATATTGGCAAAAATTCCAAATTTGCCCCCGGCCAAGCAGAACAGTACTCCGGAAAACTAAGCATGATCTATGCATACCCCGGAATCTGGGGTACTAGCGCAAAATAGTAAGCCAGAATTCAGCGTCTGATCCGGCACCCACGGTGGAACCATGAAGCCGACATCGCACTGCACGTGGTAGCGAAGCGAAATGTTCAGCTTCGTGGCGTCGTACGGGCGGGTGCTCCTGCAAAAAAGATAAGGCACAATCATGGTTGTTCACAATAGATGTTTGGGGCAGGTACCGTCGACGAGCATCTTGCGCGTGCACAGGTTGAACGGGAACAGCTCCGAATGCTCTGCAAAAGGGCATAGAATCGGGCCTCAACGGCTCGAATACCTTGTCCATCTGTCACGAACGAGACGGGCTTCAGGCAATGGCTCGATTTGGTGTACCCCTAAACAACATAAATTAAGGAAATCCTAAGCAGAGCTTACGCAGGTACTTGCTTTCGGAGTGCACTGGGCCAAGGCGCGCAACTGTGGATCCGGGTTTGGCAATATTCTACTTTTGTCGTCAAAAGCGCTCAGTGGGCAAGGCCGCAGAGGGCAATTCTCGCACTAAAATAGGAAATAACGATAGCAAGATTATGGTGAACCCACCCCTGTGTCCGGGACGTTGCTTTTCTTGCTCTGTCCATCGATTAGGCTCTTGGCCAAGCAGGCAAACGGTTCTTCGCCCAGGCACTAAAGCAGAGGGTGTGCGCGCCGCATACAACAGCCCTACCTCGCGCTTGACACGCAGCGAACGGTTCGCGGAGAAGTCTTCAGCCTGGCTGGCGATGTCCTTGCTGGGTGCATTGGAACCCTTGGACGTACGTTGAGCAGGCCTGAAAATGGATATTTAGATTCAGTGCTTCCAGCTGGCCAGTAATTTTAGCGGAGGCCTGTTGCCAACTTTCCTTTGTGTAGCCTATGCCTGCCTGGTGATAAATTGCAGTTTATGTGTTAATAATCTTTTTGGGTATATGTCGGCTACGCGGGGGGGAAAATTTTACGCGGGGGGGACGGACTGTTGGGGCCGAGCTAACTATTTTTTTGCGTTTCTTTTTGCTACAAACAAAACTCTTAGTATATTTTTTGACGCTCTGTCGAATGGCACTAAATAAATTTTGTAAAAATGTCGAAAATGTCGAAAACTTGATTTCCTTCTATGTCCTCCACGGAAACAAGGTTTAATACTTGTTTTTGTTATAACTATTTTATATTACTATATTTTGAGCTAAAATTAAAACTCTTAGTATATTTTTGGATGCTCTATCGAATGGCATCTTTAAAACGTCGAAAAAAATAGCGTGAATGTCGAAAAACAGCCGCTCAACCCGGTTTTCAAAGCTTATTTTTGTATTTGCCATAACTTTTTTATATTACACTAATTTTAGCTAAAACAAAAACTCTTAGTATATTTTTCGATGCTCTATCGAATGCCGTTGCGAAAATTCCAAGAAAATAACGAAAACATCCAAAAAGGCTTGCCGGTCCCGTCCCCCCCGCGTAAAATTGTCCCCCCCGCGTAGCCGACATATACCTCTTTTTGATAGTTTCCGAGAACCAATGATTATAAAAAAGGTAAGACTCCAGATAACCCCCTCCCCAGCCGGCCCCCAACTTTTGCATCGCGGCTCCCTGTTCATCTACAGGTGCGTAAGGTATACCAAAATGTTCGCCTTGCTCTGGCGAGTATTTTGGTATACTTTACACACCTGTAGATGAACAGGGAGCCGAGCTACGGTAGCTGGGGGCCGGATGGGGGGGGTATCTAGAGTTCAGCCGAGGGGAAGAAAGGTAGAAGGTAGAAAGGTATGAAGGTAAAAAAGTTTAGGCTACGGTTTACTTTACCCCCCCCAGCGGGAAGTTTTTGGCTTTAACTTTTTTATTTTACATTATTGTAGGCTCAAATTAAAACTCTTAGTATATTTTTCACGCTCTATCGAATGGCGTTGCAAAAATCCCGAGAAAATAAGCGAAAATACCGAAAACTTTGAGACCCTTCGGCTGTGCGGGGGGGGGGGGGGGGGGTAAAGTAAACTCTTACCAAAGTTTAAATAGCGATTTCGGTAAGATCCACTCAAGCTTTAGCTAATTAGCCAAAGAAACCTCAACAGTCAAAAGAACGCCGGCAGTTTTGAAGCGTTGGTAGTTCCCCTAAGTAACCGCTTGCTAATTCTAATAAAACGCCAAACTACCGGTATTGTATCAAAAAGAAGAAATCAACAAACGTACGACGTGTCTGGTGGAGAATCAACCGGAGAGCCGGCAGCCGACGGGGACACGGAGACGGGCTGGAACGAGCCGCAGAGCAGCCAGACCACGAAGAGGCTGCGGACGGGTCGGTGGCCGAACATCAGAAGCGTGGCGAGTTGATGTAATTGAGGCTCGATTCGATTCGTTTTTGCGACAGCCTCTTAGGCAAATTAGCGCCCGCTTCCGGTGCGTTTCATGAATGCATTCAACCTGGATTCAAATCGATTTTTGCAACCCGAAAAATTTTTGTCTGTCAAGGGGCGCTTCATTATCGGGGGGGAGGAAGAACTAGAGAAAGCGCTTCTAAACTGCTTCGACTATGCTAAGCGTAAAAACTTTACAATCTGGATTATAACGATGCAAGAAAAATTGATTTTTCGACCCAAAAAGGCCGCTTTTCGCCAAAATTTCAACTAGAAATCTTTTCTAAGGTTTTTTGGATGTCGAAAGATAGAAAGCAGTTGTAATGTACGTAAATTTAAGTGAAGACACTATTATAACACTAACTATTACGCCACTAGGCGTTTCTGGACTAAACAAAAAAAGTTGGTTTCCCCGCTCGATCTTGCGAAACAACCCGTTTTGGAATTTCCTTCTGCACAATTCATTTTTGTTCTAGGTTGTGTCCACCGACTTTGTCGGCGACACTCGCTCGTCCATCTTCGATGCCGGGGCGTGCATCAGCCTCAACCCGCACTTCGTCAAGCTGTCGCGTGGTACGACAACGAGTATGGCTACTCCAGCCGCGTCGTCGCCCTCATCTCTCATATTGCCAAGGCTTAAATTAATCTACTATCCCATACTGTTTTTCTTAGCTTGTGATTTTGTGCATAGTTCGCAGTGAATTCAATACAGTGTGCTTCTCGAATACTTTATGCAAATGATGAGGGCAGGGGGATTGCGGGATCGAATGCGAACTAGATCGCTAGAAGTTCTTGTAGATTTCAGGGGCGGGTGGGTGAGTAGGGGTGCCAATCTGCAGAGCCCTCGTGGGAGGCATATGGAGAACGGGTAGGTGTAGAGGGTTTACGGGGCGGGGGCAGAGGCGGAGGGCGTGGCGGGCGATTCGGCAGTTGGGGTCGGCGCAGCGGATGGCGCCGGGCTGCTCTCCTCCTCGGCGGCTTCTGCATCGGTGCCGGTCTTCCCCTTGGAGAGCGCCATCAGCTCTCGGTTTTTGACGCGCAGCCCCTTGGTGTATTCCGCCATGCGCTTCTTGTGCTGGTCGTGCTGGAAAGAGTGGTTGGCTTAAGTTCCCCCCACCCCAACCGGCCCCCGCCTACCGTATCTCGGCTCCCTGTTCATCTACAGGTGTGTAAAGTATACCAAAATACTCGCCAGAGCAAGACAAACATTTCAAAACTGCACTCTAACCCTAGAAATCTTATTTTTTGGGCCCAGCCAGTTATCTCGTAAAGACATCATTGACAACTGACCAACGGGTCCGCCCAGCCGTTTTGCCAGCCAACGTTTCGGCCGAACGCTTTGCCGGCTTTGAAGACGCCGCACGAGGTGCGATCCTCAGCTTCAGCCTTCCTGCAAAATTTGGGCAAATTGGCCGGCGTGCCCAACAAGACATACCTGGCTTTGACCAGGCCGTTTTCATAGGCGCGCATTCGGAGTAGAACACCGATCCCGGCGATCCCTCCTATAAGTACATCCGGAGCTCCTCATTAGCACAATTTCTTCGCTTGTGGAGGTATTATAATATATTTTCACCAGGGTATTATATTTCGTCGATTTAAAATGATTGGCTTTCCTTGGCGGCGCGTGAGAAGCGTGACTATCTATCAAAATTGAACAAATTCAAAAAGGCTGGCAGAAATGGCAGCAGAAAAAATTTTGGCAGAAAAAGGGTCATTTTCGCTCGAAAATTTGACAGTTTTCAGATATTTGTAATCAAAACGTTCGGAGTTTGCACGTTTAGGAAAATAGTTAAAACCATGCCAGCCTACCGCCGACAAGAAGAATTGATAGCAGGCCAGTGGCGATGAGCGTCACGATGTCGATCGGCGCGTCGTCGCCGCCGGAAGGCGCCGAGGTCGGTTCCGTCTGGTGGATGCTGCGCTCCAAATTCGGATCCACGCTGTCCTCCGTCATGCAGAACCGCTGAAAACGGATTCAATAAAAAAAAGCGAGAATCAATACACGAAATTAGTTGGTTGCTCGCGGGTTTTTAGTTGCTCCGGCGCAGACGGGTTTTTTTTTTTTTAGAAAAATGTCTGAAAAGTCGAAATTTTGGTCATTTCGGAAGAGTTGCAAGGGTACCATAATGTAGCCCTTGATCTATAGCGTAAGGCTAACTAGGGAGGTCCAAGATACCCGCAACACCAATCGGGCTGAAAATTTGCACCGTTATAGAACCGACCATGCTGATCATCGCCTCGTTTTCCGAATTTGCTACCGAGCTTAAATAATTAAGATATTAAACTTTTAAAATGGGCCAAAAACCCGCTACCCTGATCCTGGCTCACTAGAGCGGGTGGGGTTCAAGTGGCCTTTGGGAAGCCCCCTTGCCAGAGCTTCGGTAGTCGACTGGTAAGCGCCTCGCTTCCCAGGTGAATAGTCCGGGTTCGGATCCGGTTCGTGCGTTTTTCTTTTGCTTTTTGCTAATTTTGCGCGTGTCCAGATTGTGTTATGCACACGCATTTACGTACATCCTAGAAATGAAATTCAACGAAACCATAAATTTATGAAAAAGTTCATAAAAACAACACTAGTAAAAAAAATTGTTAAAAACCGATATTCCGTAATTCGACGGCAGCAACCGGCTCATCATTATTTCGCTACGAGATGAATCGCCAACAACGGATGGCAGGCTTGGTAAAGGTACTCATGCTATTGCAAACCGGAATTACTAAAGAGCCGAAATCGCGAAAACTTTGAAACTACAAAAACCACGCGCAAAACATTTAGAACGATTTTTAGATTTTGACAACCTTCGCCCAAAATCCTCACAATGTCGACATCACATTTTCAGAAATAGCAATTCTCCCGTTCTCGTGCTCGCTCTCTCGCTCGGGCCCCCCCTATCTCTCTCTCTCTCTCTCTCTCTCTCTCTCTCTCTCTCTTACCGTGTCTGCACCTCTCCCCATCTCACTGGCTCGCTAACTCTTTCCCTCTCGCTGTCTCTGTCTCTCTCTCCGTCTCTCTCGCTCGCTCTCTCTGTCTCTGTCTCTCTCGCTCTCTCTCTCTGTCCCAACCACCATATTCATAATCACAATGTCGACAGCACATTTTGAAAAAACATTTATTCATGGTTAGACAGCGCCATACGAGAAAGAACAGATACAAAAACGGCCGGTCACGGTATACCCAGGCGTGTTATTATACATAAAAGGAAGGCCGGCGACGGGCGTATCATCGACCAGGTCCTTCTGAAAAAAACGCATTGAAGATGAGGTGCTTTCACATTATCGGGGGTGGGCGAACCATTTTTCCATCCAACCTTACATGCCTTATATAAAAATGGATATGTTTTGAACTATTGCCAAGCATAGAACCTTTACAAGTTTTTAACAAAAATTGATTCGATGTCAAAGCATCGATTTTTCGACTAGAAACCACTAAAATTTCGACCTTTTCGAACCTTTAGCTATTTTTTGAAAGCTTTCCTGCTTCAAAAACAGTCTATTTCTTGAAAAAAAGGCTGAAAAACACTGCCTTTTAAAAGTTTAAAAACGCCTAAAAGCTATATTTGAAAAATTTTTCGGATGGGAAAAATTGTACCCCCCCCCCCGCGATAATGCGAAAGCACCAAAGATGATCTGTGCAAATTCCAGCCCACCATCCATTGGCCGAAAAAATGATGCGTTGAAGAATTTCATGAAGAGACGAGTAGGCGAGTAGTCGACCTTCATGAGTCCTTCGCATCCTTCTTCATGACCGGTCCGACGCCGGCGAGGAACTTGCGGATGGCGCTACTGTGCTCCGGCAGGTAGGCCTAAACCGAGTGGCTCTCGTCAACAGCTGGGCGGCTCGCACCTTGATGTACTCGAGCAGCGCCATGTAGATGGCCATGTACTGCTCGGGGTCGGTGATGGCGTCCGGATGGATGCTGCGCAGCTCTTTGAACAGACCGATCACCTGCAACGGGAAGCCGGATCAAGGGTAAAAAAGTCTCGGAAACCCTTTTTTACAAGATTTAAATATATCCAGATACCCCCCCCCCCACCAGCCGACCCCCACCTACCGTATCTCGGCTCCCTGTTGGTCCCCAGTTGTGTAAAGTATACCAAAATGTTCATCTTGCTTTGGCGGGTATTTTGGTATACTTTACACACCTGTAGATGAACAGGGAGCCGAGATACGGTGGGCGGGGGCCGGCTGGGGGTGGGTGGGGGGTATCTGGAGTTCAGCCCCTCAATTTACTACGGGTTTCTCAAACTCAAAAATTTACCTTTTCGCTTTTTTTGCGATTCAAATGCACTGTAGCCTTATTCTCCAGAGCACGAGGTACCTTTCGGTACCATTGACAGCCCTGTAGGTCCAAGGAATTTTGCCGTAAGTAAACCACTTTTTCGTAGTAATGAGACCACGACAACATTTTGATATACCCCAAGCATTAATAGGACGTATGGATGAAAACTTAGGGCTGGGGGGGGGAGGGATTTCCTAGACTCTAGCCGGTTCAAAATTTTAGCCGACCGGTCGGGTCGTTAAGGTAAGGGTTCGTTAGACCCACTTCAACCTCGGTCCCCTGACGCAGCCGGTCGAGCAGCACGACGACCATCAGGAAGACGTTCGACCAGCCGGCACCCGTCGCGCATTGCACCACACAGTGTTTATACTGAATGACTTTTTCACTCATTCCGATCATTTCAGGAATGCCCGGGGCGTAATGCTCAACAACAGCTCCTATTTTGACGATTTAGGTATCTATATTCGAAGACGCAAGACAACAAGCGCTTTTAGTTTTTCAATTTGCGCATTTTCATTCACGGATCTTCAGACTGAAATCCATGAAAACAGCAAGAGTTTCAAGGCGTTTGACACTTGACCCAAACGACCTTCCATGGTTAGGCCTAGAGCGGGATTCTTGCAATATTTTGTGCCAAACCATTGCACATTAGAAAAACCGACCGCCTCGCAGAAGTGGGTTAGGCGGGCGATGGTACGGGCCTTGCTGCCGAGTTCCGGGCCAGGTTTGGGTACGTGGATAGTGGGTATAGTGTATTCAGATCCATTCAGCAACTTGGCGCCCTCCTGATTTTGGCAGACGTATTTGGCGACACCGCGGCCGAAGACCTCCTAAAAAGGTTTTTCGTTGTGGGGGAAAGAGTTTTTCCCCCAAAGGGTCTCACTCTTTCCGGAAAGAGTGAGAGGGAGAGTCAGTGAGCGAGAGAGAGAGAGAGAGAGAGAGAGAGAAGGGAGAGAGAGAGAGAGAGGGAGAGAGAGAGAGAGAATCAGTGCGTGAGTGAGTGAGCACTTACTCCGGTCTGGTAGGGGCCCCATACACCAAAATTGCACTCATAGTAAGCCTTGCGCCGGACGGCGCCGGCCCCGTCGCGGTGAGGCCACCAGTTTGCCCCATTCTCCACGGGTTCGAATTCATTGAAGCAGAAGATGGGGGGCATGGGATCCGGGCCCTAAGGAAGTACGCTACTCTGGGGCATGTGGCTCGGTCACCAGCGCGCCAGGGGCGTTCTGCTGGTTGAAATGGTTCATCATTTGCCAGAAGTCGTCGCGCGTCTCGGGAAGCGGCGCTTGGGTAGCCACCCACGTCAACGGACAGCCTGGAATTTCGAGCGGCGTAGCAGCGGATCCGGTAAGAGTTTGCCAAAAAGAAATATTCAAATTTACACAATTAAAATAGTGTTTGACGGTCATTCGGATTGCTTGTCTTTTCCATAAATAATTTATTTGACATTCATTTGGGTTGCACTTAAAAAGCTTAGTATATTTTTTGACGCTTTTTTCGAATGCCGTTACAGCCATTTTGTAAAAAAATGGCAACTACCTAAGACGTATCATACATACCCATCGCTTCTCCATTTATTTAGATACGACTTTTTGAGCTGTCATAAAAACTCGTAGTATATTTTCCGGTGCTCTATCGAATGGCGGCAAAAAATCCCAGCAAAAACAAGCGAAAATATCGAAAACTTTGGGACCCTTGGGCTGGCGGGGAGGGGGGGGGGGGGGTAAAGTAAACCGTAGCGACGGATCCGAGGTCGCCTACCGGGCAACGAGAACTTGGTGGCATGGATGTAGTCCGATTTGCCGGGCTGCGCCCATGCCAGCACCACACGCGATTTGTCCGTGCATCTGACCTGCTGAAAATTGAGCCCATCACTACGCCATCAAAACACCACGGACGCGATTACGGTTTTTTGCATGGTTTTGCTCGAATGCAGTGGCTGCGAGCTCTGGCTTCACTTCCCAATTGCAATTCTCGCGCCACTCCTCCAGGACACCACCCGGGCCTTTCTGAAAATGTTCGGGTGGTGGGGCAGCACGATCGAATGGGTTGTTCAAGGCCTCTGGGACGCTGGGCTCATCCCCATCCCCCCTCGCCCTCTCCCGGGTGGATAAGGATGAGCCTCCGAAAGCAGTTACGCAAAGCGCAGGCCTGGGAATGGGCCGGCACGCAGCATTTCTGAACATTTCCGGCCAAAAAAGCAAAAAGCAAAAGATTGACCTCGGACGGGATCGAACCCGGGTCGTTTTCCTGATAAATCAAAGTTAAGCCAAAACTTATAATGTAATTAAATTACCGCATTTAAACTCAATATAACTTATTGGCAAGGTGGCGAGCCGGCCCGGGCTAGCCCTCCATATTTGACGGGCCGGCCCGCCAGCCTAAAATCCCGAAAATCTCGGCCCTGGCCCGGCCCGGCCCGCCAAATTCCAAAGCCTGGAAAAGCGCCGCGAAACTTCCGACCTTGCGCGCTGCCTTCACAAACTTGGCCACGACCGCTAACACTTGCTTGCTCGGGCGCCCCAGCTTCGGGTTAGCAATCTAAATTGCCGGGTTAGATTGAATTGAGCTGTGCGCTCACCTGGTTGGTTTTGAACCAGAGCACCTTAATCTTGGAGGCCCGAATGTAGCCAATGACGAAAAGGATGATGGTGACGCACAGCACTGAAAATTTAGGAGGTCGTTTGCCAGATCCCCGAACAGGCCTTGTCACAGTTGTTTCGACCCCCGTTTTCTTGATGCCATATGAAAGAGCATGGCCGAATTAGTAGGGTGGTACTATTTTCAGATTTTTAAAAGTGCATTTTCTGGGGTGAAAGTGAAGTTTAAAGTCGGCAACCTTGAACAATCTGCCACCATGCTGAAAAACAGCTTTTGTAGGGTATTTGCAGAGTGGCGACGCATAGCCATTGAATTGAAAAATTGCGAAAACGTTTTTATGTTGTGTTTATGTTATGTTTTTATGTTGTGTTTTTAAGTTTTTATGTTTATGTGGTTGTTCGAGTGTCCGGCGGACGGCCTTTCAAGGCGGCAAAATTGTGCAAAACGAATTCGGGCATCCGTTTTTGTGTTAAACGCACCGAGGCCAAGGACAACCGAATTGTAGGTGATCCAACTGGGGTAGACCAGGGCTTCGTCGAGAAGGGCGCCGAAGTCCTGCTCTCTGACGACGGCGTCGGCAGTAGCGTTGTGAGCAACGTGCCAGCGACAGAAGAGCTGAATAGTGGTGGTTTCTCCCCGCAAATCAAGCCGTGCTATTTCCAATTCTGAGAGTTAGGAAGAATTTAGGAAAAACCAGGGCTGAAAAACGGCCTTGCGGCTTTTCAACCCTGGCCCCTCTAGGACCTATGAAGTAGAGTTGTTATTCGACCCGGGTCGAAATGGCCGCATTTTTTGTAGGCTCCCGCAGCGAAAACTTTGTAAACTCAATAAATTTTTTCTAAAATAGAATACCGCTATTTCGTTTTGTTTTTGATTCTGTGAGATCATTTCCTGTATTTAGAGTCGTGAAACCATAAGTATTCATGCTAGAATCACAAAGAACTCCCCGCGAACACTCAAGAGGACGAAAAAAAGAATACGCAAGCGGACCGGCTAAACTCACCCTAGCGCTGCTTCGCACCGTGGCACACTTGGCGGGTTCGATCTTGAGGGCGGCCATCTGCGCCGCGTTACGCGTCGTCACGGCCTTCTGGTAGTAAGGATTGGTTTCGCAGTTCAGGTAGAAGTCTTTCTGGACTTCATCGATGTGTAGCTGCTAGAACAAAAAAAAACATTAATTCTAATATGTGCCCCCACCGTCAACCCCGCAACGTCGCTGATCTCGATGCAACGGGGGAAAATCCGCTGTGGCTCCTCCTCAGCGGTCCATTTCCGGTCCAAGTTCCCGAAGGTGGACTGCAGCGCGGCGTACGGGCCCAACTAAAGAATGTCAAAGCTGTCAAGCGCGAAAATAATTAGCCTACCCCGTTCCGATCACCAGGTATTATTAATGGTGCCTTTTGAGTGTCAGTAGGTGGGATAAGTAGGTCCAAGAGCACACAATCCTCCGCCTTCTTGGCTCCTCGGGCGGGGTAGAGACACGGGGTATTAGCAGCATCAAGGACGCTCTTGGGCATCCCGACGGCCAAGCTGGAAACACAATTGGTGGCAAGGCGGCCTAAAGGCCCGATCTATGTATAATCTTCGTGACTATAAACTAGATATCTCCCCGCTTCGCGACTTTTCAACTCTGGCCCCAGTACAAAAAACACTTAACAGTTTGCTCTTTAGTATAGGACACCCTCACTGCTGGCGGATGGCGTTCAAGCCGTGCCGTCAAACCCCTAATAAAATTTTCGAACGTTTTTCGCATTCCGGAAAAGTTTTCATTTTTGATTGTTCGAAGTTTTCCGCATCATGGACTCCGACCGCATAGAGCAGAACCGACGGCAAACTTACGGGAAGCCCTGCAGTGGACGCGGCATACAGTTGAGCGGGTCCGGCAGCGGCAGCTCAGCGGCGCAGAACTAAAAAAAAAGGTTTTTTCGTCGAGTGTGCCGAAAACCTGGATGTTGTCGAAATCCGTGATGTCATCCGGAAATATTGATGGATCTCCTGGGGCGAGACCAGCGGCTTGATGTAGACTGGGCACGCATCCGATGTTAGCAGCGATCCTGAAAGCCACACTTTTTTCGGCGCAAGCCGGGACTTTTTTGTAAAGAGTATCCCAAAAAAGACGTAATTTGAGCCAGAAGCCTTCGGCCGAGCACAAAATTTGCACACCGATAGGTCGGAACTACCGGCCAGTTTTATAGTTCGAGCCAAAAAGTTTCAGTTTTAATTTAATATCGGGATTTCTGTAATTGCCGGTGGTCAAGCACCCACGGTGGCACCATGAGGCCGAGATCGCATTGAACGTGGTAGTCAAGTGTAATGACGAGCTTTGTGACGTCGTACGGGGAGGTGCTCCTGCAAAAAAGATACGGCACAATCGCGGTTGCTCACAATAGATGTTTGGGGCAGGTGCCGTCGACGACCATCTTTCGGGTGCACAGGTTGAACGGGAAGAGCTCCGAATGCTCTGCAAAAGGGCATAGAATGGGTCTCAACGGCTTGAATACCTTGGCCATCTGTCACGAACGAGACGGGCTTCAGGCAAATGGCAGAGTCGGTATAGCCCTAAAGAAAAGGCAGTCGGGACTTCTAACATAAGGCAAAGCTTACGCAAGTATCATCCTTTGGAGTACATTTGGCCACAGCGCGCATGTTCAGCGTGGTGGTTAGCACGTGTCCGTCGATCGATCCCCCGTCGATCAGCTGGCAGTTCTCCACGTCGCAATTCGCGCACTGAATAATGGTCGATTAACGCTGCAACAGGGAAACAAACCCCCGTATCCGAGATGCTGCTCTTCTTGCTCGCAGCACCAGCGGGAAGGCCATCGATTATGCTCTTCGCCACGCAGGCAAACGGTTCCTTGCCGAGACACTAAAGTACACGGTAAGTATGCGGTATATAACAGCTTTACAGCTCGCTTGACACGCAGCGAATGATTCGCCGAGAAGTCTTCAGCCTGGCTGACGATGCGCTCGTTGGGTGCATTGGAACCCTTGGAAGTATGTTGATCAGGCCTGAAAACGGATATCTATATTCGATATCCTGTAAACTAAAGTCCAAATTATATCAATATACCAATCACCCGGTATTGGCTAAACACTAGATAACCATCCAGCCGTGTTTCCGACTTTTCACATAAAATTTGTCGGGCTCAAGTCTAGGAAACCCCCCCCCCCCAGCCGACTTTTCAACTTTTCTACCGTCCTTATTTTTATTTTTCGCTACTTTTTTCGACTGAACTGCAATGTAGTCTTACTAATTAGCTTACGGCGAACATTTTGGTATACTTTAGAGCTCGCTAGCACAAAAGGGGGCCGAGATACAAAAGTTGGTGCCGGCAGGGGGGGGGAGGGGTTTCTAGACTCTTACCATTTGTCGGCATTGGAATACACGGCCTTTTAGATCTACGAGAGGGGTTTGCCCCACTGCCCAAAAATGTCGCTCTTCTTTCGGTCATAACTTTTCCCCTTGGCCGTATCTCGAAAATCACCGTGACGGTTCGATAAAGAAAAGAATTTCGCACATTTTTGTAGAAAAAACTATTATATAATGAAGTGTTGGGACCGTTTTTTATAGTTTTTAAAGCTCGTGCGCGCTTTGAAAGGCCGTGACTATTAGCGGGGCATTTCTCGTGATATTTGTTGGTAGGAGTTATTTCACGTTTGTACCCCCGCCATGCGATCAAAACGAAGGAAGCAGCAAACATACGTTGCGCGAGATCGGAGAGCCGCCGAAGAGCGGAAAGCCGGCGGGGACACCGAGACGGGCTGGAACACGCCGCAGAGCAGCCAGACGATGGCGAAGCCGCCGACGAGTCGGTGGCCGAACATCAGAAGCGTGGCGAGCTGATATAATTGGGGCTGAATTCTATTCGCTTTTGCGAGAGCTTCGCAGGCAAATCAGCGGCTGTTTCCGGTGCCTTTCCTGAATGCAAAAACTGGAAACAAATCGTTTTATGCAGCCCGTAAAAAGGTCAAAAGGCTTGCGCATAAGTCTTCTCGCTTGTCTGGCGAATGCGCCTTGCGTTTCCGGACGAACTTCTTGTTTTTTGTTTCGAAAAAATTACCCTTAGCTTTGCCAGGGCACCGAGACCGCACTTTCACGAAGTGTGTCCGCTTGAGAAATTAAGCGCCCATACTCAGGTCCTTGGGTCCACCCGAAATCCGATTGGATTCCACCTGGATTTGGGGTGGAACGCATGGAAATGGGCTGGATTTCGGGTGGACGCACAGGGAATCGAGTGGAAAGACGACGCAACGCGGGCCCCACGCGGCGTGGCAAATGGAAATCGAGTGGAAACCGGGCGGATCCGGTCAATTTCCAGCTGATTTACCGTGCATCCACCCGCAATCCGGTCGATTTCCACGTGGAATCCGGTCGCGTTCGCTACTGGAATTCCGATCGATTTCGCGTGCAGATGCCGACCGGATTTCGGGTGGACCCGAGGACCTGAGTAAGTTAACGGCCTTTTTAGATGAAGTCGCCGTTTCTTCAAGGTCGTTGGTCGAATCAACGTAGGGGAACTTCTCGCCTCTCGCGAGAGGCGACGGCTGCGAGGCGTAAACCGCGAGAAGTCACTCTTCACTAGTGATTGGTATTGCTTTTAGATAAATTTTTTTGAAAAGATGTGGAACGAGAAGCAAGCGATTTACAAGGATGATTTGCGAAGTGTGCCCGACAAAGTGGATTGCACAAATGCTCAGATACCCCAGACGCGAGAGGTGAATGCAAGCTTGTCTTACACGAAGGCTGTTCGTAACAATTAACCGCTTTAGATGCTTCAGACAACATTTCAGGCTTTTGAGCAACGCCACTTTACTGGGCCGCTGCCAGCTGAGGCAGCCGGTGCAACGAACTTTGCGGCGCGAACTTTGAAGCCATTGGCCCCGATTCCTCCTTTTAACACGCCGCAAAAATCCGGTGCACCGAGGGCAAAATCTCTGGCAGAAGGCGGGATGGACGGTTGGTTGGTTGCCCTTGGTCGGGTGGTGGCTGGCTGAGCTGTACGTCCCCCTCTGCCCTCAAAATGAGGGGGACAAACTCTTTAGATCGTCAGATATTTCGGGGGCTTTCGGTTCTCGGAGTGCGCGACGCAGCACCAGCACACCCAAGCAGCCCACCACACCCTGGAATCAAATTTCGCTGAGGGTTCTTTGAACTCGACTACACCACAAAACCCGACACCAGGTAATTTTTTTATTTTTGGGATTCTGAAGTCCGTGTCCCTAGGTAATTCGGTTGCGCAGCTGCAGATCCATACTCGCGCAACTCGGCGATCGGTTTCTAAGCAAAGCGAAGATGGCCGGGTTGGCGACGCCGGAAGCGCGAATGTACGTAAGCAAATATCGCTATTTTTTTGCTGTCCTTATTGCTGGGGCAATTTATTTACCCGAAACGACGGGGGCAGGGCTTTTTAAAGTTTTTAACGCGACCGCCCGAGCTTTTAAGGTAAAATTGCCGGACTTTGAGTAATTCCAACGACTTATTGAGCTTGAAACCACTCAGGATCATAGCAAAAAGCTGAAATGAAAGCGTCTTAGGGGCTTTATCAATTTTAGCGGTCAGTTTGACACATCAGCCTCGGGTGTTTGCATTAAACGGGGGCTCTATTTTCTTTCTCACCCCCGGGTGGTAGAACTTTCTACCTCTAAAGGTTTTTTAGAGGAGTGTGTCGTAATAGACAGGGGGAATCTTAGAGAAAATACCATTGGTAAGTCGTTAATGTTTGTAAAAATATAGGCTTTCCTTTATTTAGTGCCTTCTCCTTCGGCGCCACCTCTCTACACGCCCATCTTTTGACCAAAACCCTGGTCTGCCGCTTTTATTTCCAGTTCCCGCTCGCAATACATGTGCTCCAGAATCTGGCGACGTTGTTTTACATCGAAACGCAACGGTGGGTCTTCTTTCCGAACCCAAAATTGCGCCGGCAGAAGATCATAGGAAATGGTTTTAGTGCTTTTGACAAGGTCGACCTCGGCCCCTATTCATGGGAGCGGGGCCAACAGCTTGTTGTTCCTTCACTGCTATTAGCAGGTCGGTTTTTACTTGAGTCTATTGTAGCGCAAAGCAAAAGCCAGTCGGTTTTTTCATTCCCGTAATTCCAGGCTCATCATGGCTGTGGACCTCTTCGCTTGAAGGGCTTGCCATGCCATATTTTGAATCTTTTTACAGGTTCTTTTAAGCTCTTGACCTCCTAAAAACCGTATACCGGTCACAAAAGTTTTTGATTTTGACCGGAAGCAGTCGATTCCAGCTGGAACTCGGTGCTCGTGCTCGTGATCGGCGGGTTTCTCCTAAAACACCGTGGATCTGCCCATCGCGGCGTGTTTAGCGTGCTCGGATTGGCGCTGTGCACGGCGGTGGCAGGTCAGGTCAAACTTTTTCATTTTTAAAATCGTTTGGAGTTTAGCGAATCTCCACCTGGCCGTCGACGGACCGTCTTTATTTTATGGAGGTGCGGCCGCAGTCTGCCAAGCCGCAGCCTGGATTTGGGTAGGAAGTCCCCTCTATTAAAAAATATTATTACGCTCTATTTAGCTTGAAAAGCTGACGGCCACAATCTCGACAATGGAAATAACATACATTACCAGCTTCAACTCTCTACTCCTATTTTTCCTGTGCGACCTAGTGAAGGTACCTTACATCATGCGTCTGCTGAAAGCCAGGTTTTCGTCGTTTAATCATACATTCAGGGCGATATCCGGGAAAGCCTCATGTTTATGATGTCGGCGTCCGATATTCCGTTCTACTTCTTCATGATGTGCTTCTTACTTACTAGTGTTCGACTGAATGTGGGGGTTTTCTAGGCCTTTCTAGCTTCCTAAAACATTCCTTATATGATAGTTTTCCAGTTCCAAAGAATCGAATGCTTGGCGGCGACAGGTTCCTTGACAACGGCCGTCATCACCAACATCAAAACTGCGCTACAGGTAGAGACTGCATGGGTTGTTGGGCGATAGAAAGCGCAGTAAGCATAGCATCGCCCAACTTCGGAAATTTAAGAAGATGACATTTAGATGATATTGTCCTACTACCTGGGCGCGCAGAAGTTCTACGATTTTTGGGGCGGACATCCCGACTCGGTGCACTGGTTGGCGTTACTCGGGACAATTGGTTGGTTGTCCGAAGGGTTAGAAACCATTTCGAAAACCCGCATGCCCACGGCTCGTCAGGCCTTACCAAAAACGCACTTCTGGGGGGTGCGGGCCCTCTCCCGGGGATAGTGGGTTAACCTCCCAGGCGAGCCCCCTGCACCCCCGGGTTCGGTTCCTCTGCGGCGCAAGCTCTCCCATTTTGGTGATCTTTGTTTTGCTTTTTGCTCCAATATATCACCGATCGTCTACTGTAACACAAAATCAAATAATACTCGCGAAAAAGCCCCAGAAAATAGCAAAAAGCGGCCAGAACCCGTTTTAACAAAGTGAATCCAAAAACAGTCGCAATTTCGCTCCATAATCCGCTTTCAGGGTTGCTATTACAATTTTTTTTGGTTTAGTAACGATCATAACTACCCTCTGTAGGTTTATGTTAGCAAAAGTGGGCTACAGATCACGAAGCTCCTGCTCCAAGCGTCCAAGTGCCCGAGTATCTTAGCTATTTTCTTAATAGGAGGTTCATAATTCAGCAGTTTTTCGATTAGCACTACATTAAATTGATATAGTTACCTAGAAAACCGCCATACAAGGCTTACATCCTTCCGGCTGAGGGGTTAGCATCGAAACGTTAGGATCGCCATCGGACAAGAGCATATCTTTTCCAGAACTTCCCTTATTAATTCAAAAGCATGTATCGTGACTCCACCCAACCTTTTAGCGAGATTTGATCGTATTTTGATAACAACAAGGTGAAAAACTAGCCATAAATCAGCTGGGTCGGAACTTTCGGGAACTTTAGGCTTCAAAATCTCCTTATTTTGGTGAGAACTCTCATTGCGACCCACACAGTTCGATAGAGAATTTTTTTCTCTACCAAGTTCCCACTCCTCCCGAAGGTTCGAAATGATATACAAAAAGTTATTATAATAAAACGTAGAGTTTCTGAGTTTTTAATATGGGCGGCGCCGCCACACAGAGCCCGGAGGGCGATAGGCGCGCCCCGTACTAAAGTGCCCTTTGACGAGCCGTGTGCCTGCATTCAACCGCACGATTTAGTGTTCGCCTACATCTACGTCCGCCAACGAACGGTCCAGCAAAGCGCAAAACCTTACGGGCTTGCCGCCGAAATGGCCGTTTTTGGTGCCTTCTCATTCGCGATGCTCGTTTTCGGATAAGAAAGATACCACATATAGTCGTGCCGCTTTATCCGGCATCAACCGTCAGCGAACCACAAACAAAAACTCAACAATCAAAACAAAATGCACACAGCGGGGGAGGAAACGGATCAGGGTTTGTGAGAAAGTACAGCAAAAATTATGCAAGGTCGAAGTCGTCGAGTTGATCGTTGTAGGCGAGCACTTGGGCGCGAATCTTGGACGTGCGGCACCATGTGATCATGTCTTCCTGAACAGAAACGAGTAAAATTTTTCTCGACAAATGACCGCCACCCTGAATTTCTAGACTAGTAAAAAAATACTACGATTTCCGTTCTGTTCTTTTTAGAGCGGGGGGAAATGTGCCGAAGCGTGGGGGGGATTTGCCCCGGAAAGTCGAGATTTTCTCGAGAGGGCTGGATCGCTATCCGCTACGGCATCTAAAAGCATATTAAGATCCGTTGTATGAGTTCAACATATCAATGTACAAAAGTTGGAGAAAAAGATGAGTTTGAGTTTTAGCTAAAACTAACAATCACGTAAGGAAAAGTTTCCCCCGCTCGAAACAGAACAACACTCGAT